TAACGCATCTGAGGGTACGTCTAAGTATGTGTCAGCTGCGGTGTGAATTCATCTCATATCAACTTTTGAAATATAAATAACAAAAGTTAACACATTTATCTTAAATTATAAACTAATTTTGAAAAAAATAAATTGAAATTTATTTTTATGAAAAAAAGTGGGCCGAAACTCCCCCTATATTTATTTTACATATTTAAACATAAATGAGTTGTTATCTTCCCATGTTCATGATTTTTTTGAAAGAAAAGTTTGATTCATCTCACGTTAAAATCGGAAATAATTGTTTGGTATTGATTGGCAACTAATAATTGAATTTAATTAAAGTGCTCATTAATTATGTTGATCTAAACACCCACTGATCAAACGACTTTTGCTTAAATAAACATCAAGTACACTGTATGATTGAAGAAAACCACTCGTGGCGAATCCACTCGGAGCGAACAGGTGTTTGGGGCGAAAACACCCGGATTCTTTTCAATTATTTAATTATAACTTTAAGTAACCAAATATGAACTTGGACACTCCTCTAAAACATGCTCCCCTCTTAAAACGGTTAGACGAGTCTTATAAATGAAAAAGAAATATGACGAGGGAAAGTGACACCCGACCCTCGACCCCATCCCCTCCCCCGAAATAAGCTTTTTAGGTTTTGGCAAGCTGTTTACGGCTTTATTTTTTGCTTTTGTTTTGTTGTGTTTTGTATATTTTTTTAATTTGTTTCAATTATTATTGTCAATAAATGTTCGAGTTATATTATTTATTTTAGTTAGTGGTGTGGAACACCCCCCCCCCCCCATCCCTCCCTCCCCCGAATGAAAAACTGAGGGTTTTTTTTTTGTTTTTTTTTTTTGTTTTTTTTGCTCGTCAAAAATGTTCGAAGCCCTTATTTGTTTTAGTTGTATGGACCCCCAACCCCTTGAAAAAAAATTCCTGGGTCCGCGCCTGCGAAGGATAAAGTGCAGAGTCTTGTATTTTCTTATTTGATTTGTTAAGGGTTCTGATTGATGTACACGCGGTATTACAATTCAACTGCAAAGTTTATCATAATTATTTTTTGCATAAATAATCAATAAAGTTGAGTGTAAATCATCTTATTTACTTACATTTATTAAAACGCTTAATTTTCACAATCCTCAATTTTATTGTTAATTAAATTATTTACCTAAACAAGACTTTAAGTCATAAAAAATGTTATTTTGCCTCCATCGCGTACTGTTTTTCATACAGGCAGAAAATGAAAGGTATTTCGATACACCATACAGAAGAAAAAATATCGAATTCATACGGACTTAATTGGACAAACTGTTTCGCTGTTTTAGGACTTAAAGGAAAGCATTTTATGTTAACATTTTTTCTCTCGATTTTTCAATTGGCTGCCTTGTTGATTGATTACATGTTATTTAGCGTCCCATTCAAGAATTTTTAACTCATATAGAGACGTTACCATATGCCGGTGAAGGGCTTCAAATTTAAACCTATAATCCGCACTTAGGGCCATTGAGCCGTGAGGGTTCTTAATCGTGCCAACGCCTACTGTTACACGGGACCTTGGTTTTTAGGTCTTCCGAAAGACCTGTGACTTTTACTTATAATGCCGGGGGCTTGGCGAAGGAACAGTCACTACCTATGTTTATGTCTTAAGTTTCAGGAGGAGCGGCGAACGAGAATCGAACCCGCGCCTGCCGATCACGAAGGGTACGTCCCCAGTAGGCTACCGTGATCGCCAGATGTATTGTCGAGGAAAGAGTATATTATTTAGAATTTGCCCCCTATTTCGAGTAAAATGGGACATATTACTACTTACTATATTGTTAGTTTTTGTTAAAAACAAGTATATAGTGAGAAGATCCAATTTGTGATACAATTTTTTGTATTTTAATGCAGCAGTTGGCAGTTGCTATAAAGAAGCACATTCACCCATCAAAAATCGTTTAAAAGATATTTCTCTACATAAATTTAGTATACTTAGACTATTTAAAGATCTTGGCATAAACATTATCTGCAACCATCTACTTTAAAATCAATTAAAGGTTGGAAAATTTCGTGTTAACTGTATTTGACACTGTGGGCCATGTAGTGGAGGAGGCATCAAGTTTAGATTGTTAAATATGTGTATGAAATATGAAGATAACGAACAGTATTCAATCTCGAAAGTCAAATGAAACGATACAGATTTGGAGCAGAGCAAACACGGACCTCAAAATTTAGAGGTTGGATCAGGTGCCATGGAGGAGTGAGTATCCCCTGCCGACCAAGCACACCCGCCGTGTGCTCCTTGTCATGATCGGGAAGCAAAAACCGGACAAAATCCGTAGACAGTTCAGTGTATGAATAATGGCCTAACAATTAGTATGAAAAACGTCAGTCAGCATTTGACTCAATTATAGGTTGTATGTGCTGACAAGGTCATTGTATCGACCGAAAAACGTGCGAAAAGATGACTTCAAACGAGACTGTTGATACCCTTGTTTCGTCAACTTGTTTGTCAATAGCTTGCCTCAATTTAGAAATTGTTCATTCATTTATGACCTACAATTATTACACTTGAAATTTGGCTGAAATAAGCTTGTCTTAACTTTTAATCGTCTGTTTTGTTTAAAAAATGGCTAGAGTAATTAAAAATGATTTTTTTTATTTCCAATGGTGCACAATTTTTATGTACATAAATTCATATGATAAAGTTATTATCTTGAATTTTCCTCGACAACTTCACTATTTGGCCCATAATCCTGATTGTATACTTTAAACATTAGTTGATCTGGAAAAATATTATTATTAGAAAGAAATGATCTGTTGTGATGAAGTACGCGATATTTTAAGTACTTAATTGTGAAATTTGCGTCGCAGATCAATAAACTTGTATGATTGCTTGATCCAAAACCACCTGTTCCTTTCCCCGATGTAGTGAACAGTGAGAAACATTTTTACAGGACTCGGACTACCAGATCAAGAAGTGAGCGCCCAACCACTAGGCTTCCAATTGAAGCCCCTCGAAGAAAGATTATTTTTGAAACGCATATATTTATCAGTTTCTGAATCAAAATTCATTTGGTTGGTTCTTTAATTTACATGCTGACTTTAAAAAAACATACATGAAAGAAAGAAAGGATTTCATTATTTTTTCTTTACATGTACAGAATTATGATTTTTTTTCTTTGTACTGTGTAAATTTTAATTAGTGTTTTTTTTCTTTACGCATTTCCGTTTACTTAACGTATTTGCAATTTCAAACGAAGAATCAAATTGTTTGAAGCAAATGAAGTATATGTATAGAGACTAATAAGGAGTGAATGGAAATTCCTCTCTCAAATTAGAGAGATCTCCTTCAGGAAATAACTTTAGTGGCATAACAAAATATCTCAAAAGTTGAAATTAGCTGATAGCTTTTGAGAAGTAAGATGACTCATAAAATTAACACCTCGGGATTGGGCTGTACGAAAGTACAACTTGTGTGCACCATAGGAACTATTAAGTTTAAATTATTTTAAGGTTTACATGATATATCTTTAGATGATGGAGATGCTTACTCCTCCAGGGCACCTGCTCCCACCTCTGATGTTTTTAGAGGTCCGTGCTTCCTCTGCTCCCAATTTGTATTATTTCAATAGACTTTTGAGCTTGATTACTGTTTGTTATCTCCATATTTCATGATATAAAAGATCATGAGGCCCTGGTCACGTTGTAGACAAATTACAAAGAAAACCTTGTAGGCATGCAGAGACACAAAATATCAAAATAAGATTGAATATTGAGTACGTTTTCTTGCAAGTCTAGATTCGTCTACATGTACATTCGGAAAACAAAAATAATTCACAGTATTTTTGTTGATTTTTTAATTTGAAACAAACTGTTGATTATTTTTTTAGCTTAACTATAGGTTATTTTACAAAAATGCATATAAACTTATTTATTTATATGTGTTCCATGAATGTAAAGCAATTGAATGAAAATGACATTTTTGTGTTTGATATCGATAGAAGAGTTGTGCATACTTTTAAGCAGAAAGGCAGTGTTGAACCTTTATCCAAAGAATTTAATTCAATGTATAATGTGCTGCGGTATTTCTATGAATATATCTTAGAAATGATTTCAAAAATAGAGGTATGATTAATCATACCAGTAGTGTAGTCTTTTATTGTAGAATCAGATGAATCTTTTATTGTAGATTCAGATGCATTGAAAACATGACCCCTTGGTTATGATGGGACTACATTATGGTGTGAAACTTTTAAAGTAAATTGTTAAAATCAAGAAGAGAAGATTTTTCATCTGATATTTTCCTTATTTGATTGAATATTGCGCAATTTTAGAGGAATTGCGACTTGTATCTTTTCAAGGATATTTTTTTTGCTCTAAAATCCATAATGAAACTACAGAATAGATGTGTTCAATTCAGTGCAAGAGAAGCGAGGAAAGGAAGAATTTTATTGCGATATAATATTTTATAAACTCTGGTAATAACTAACACGAAAAATCCCTTAAACACATTGTTGACATGCGTTATCGGAATTTTGAAAAATGCAATTATAAACTCTCCAATTTTTCCATGGCTATGGGAATAGAATGGGCCACAATATTACATAGAATATAATAGAGAATCTTCGATTGATGAGCAGGTTCACGATTAGATTGAAAACACATGCAAATAATTCCTGTTTTTTATTACCAAAAGTTTCAGTTTTTGACGTTCACACTCTCTACGTAGAGATTAAAGAACATACTACAGTGAAGCAAGTACAAATTGAATTCAACTAACATCTAACATTTTAAAATGTTAAATCATGAGATATAAAATGAAAACACTTACAAAACTTATACGCAACAAAAATGCAATAAAAAATGCATGTCATAGTTGATTTCGGATAATCAACAAACACATCTCGTATTCTTTAGATTTAAAAATGTCCTTTGTTGGAACTATAGCAAGCAAATATATCAATAATTTCACAAATGATTGTGCTTGTACGTTAGGTTATACCTTATTAAATTACAGATTAAAGGATGGGAACAGAGGTATCCAAATACGGAAGTGATCAAGTCCTTGTCGACGCAAAAAGTGAATATATTGATGATGTCCTGCAACAGGAAGACAATGACAGCGATCATGAGAGCGAGGAACACGTTCACGGTAACATAAAGGGAAAACATTTATTTAACACAGAAGCGAGTTACAATCAGTCATCCGTTTATATAATCAATGTTTGAATAGTTGCAGTTAATGTTCTTTCATTTATGAATTTGTTTCTTTTTTAGAATTAAGTGAATTAGACAAGCTTGCGCAAACCATAGACCCAAACGATTATGTTGATCAGTATCCTTTCGAAAATCTCATTTTCGAGGGAGGTGGAGCAAAGGGGATAGCATATCCTGGAGCATTGAGGGTTAGATATAGGAGATTAATGTTAACTTGTATTTTGTAGTAGATGAGTACATGTATGAAAGTTTTAAATTCTATTATCGTTATATGTTAGGAGAATGCAATATGGTAGCACTGGCTTAGGTAAGCAACTTTCACTTTAGTCAATCTGTTCTGCTTTAACTCGACTTACTGTGATCAAAAGTCAATTTTCTAAATATAAAGGGCGATTCATTCATAATAACCCCAGATATCTTGTGATATATCGTATGCAGGGTCGTTCTTATGTAGGTAAATAATACGTAATGACATGCAGAAAAGAATTATTTCTGTACGATCAAACATTTAATGAAATGGAAACAATCACTTTGCAAAATGAATATATGGTTGTAGTTTCTGAAATGCTAAACATAAATAATGTTACAGGTTAATATACATTACTGATAATTTGTATCAATGTAAGATCAATATATTCAGGAAACTCTACTGTGACGTCGAATTCACCATTTTGTAATTGCACTAAAAAAGAAGTATTTATAGTAATGTCCATTAAAAAAATCATATTACAATTATCAGGTCAGTATTACAAATTTTTTGACCTAATTCACGTCGATTATTTATATATTATTCTTTCTCAGGCGTTAGAGGAAGTTGGTATTATGAAAAAGATCAAAAGATTTGCTGGTACAAGTGTTGGCTCTATAACGGCAACCATGGCTGCGCTTGGCTACAAAAGCACTGAAATTAGAGAAGTCATGTCAACAGATTTTTCAAAGTATTATGGTACTGCTCTAGATAAAAGATTTAATAATTGAAATAAGAGTATGTGCAAACTCATTTGAATTTAACATGCTTATTATTCAACTGAAAACTCAAGAAAAAAAGACTGAAACAAACTTTTTATTCATGAGTTGCAAACTTTTTCAAGAGAAACTATTATGAAGTTTAATGCAGAAAAGTGGTTCTGCGTGTTTGAGAGTCCTGTGTTTTTATGTTGAAAGATGCTAGGTTTGGAAAATTCAGTTTCATTCCAAATCTCCTCTGGTATTTGGGATGGTAACCACTTTATACCCTGTACGATTACATCGGAGAAATAGTTGAAAAGAAACTTGGGGACAAGGACGCTACATTTGAACAAGTAAATGTTTCATTTTTTGGATACATTCATAAAAGAATTATTTTTGCAAAATTTATGCTTCAAAAAATCTTTTACATCCGCGACAGAATTTTCATGTGAAATAAAGAATTATGTGAAGATGGCAATAGGAGTACACTAGTTTTCTTGTCATATGCATCAAAATTGTAAAACTATTTGACTTGTACTGAGTATTCTTTTAAATTGATTTCTTCAGCTTTACAAGAAATTAGGGAAGGAGTTGTGCATCGTTGCTACAAATCTTAATGATATGGAAGAAACCTATTTTCATCCTAAAACTACACCCAAAATGTCACTCAGGAAGGCGGTTCGTATGTCTATAAGCCTCCCAGGTTAGTTTCTGCAGTAAGTAACTTTCACTGTCTTATATATGTTCGATTTTATGTACTTTGTTTTAAATGTAGTTGTCTTGATTTGCAGGTATAATGCAGCCTATTAAACATACTGATTTTGGAGTGGAGAGCATGTATGTGGATGGTGGTGTACTCATCAACTACCCAATAGAGTGTTACGATGGTGAGTTGAAACATTCTACCAACTTTTCTGGAAGTAAAAACACGGAAGCAGGTTATTATTTTAGTTTAGAAGCAATCGGTCTGAATAAATAACATATATACATGTACTGATAAAACAGTGAATATTCTTTTACATTTTTTCTATAGCCAAATATATTTGATTTTTTAACATTTGTTTATAGGATAGGTACTTGCAAAATAAAATATCTCTTACCTGGAAAAAAAATGTGTTTCAAAGCACCCATTTCAGTTCTAAGCATTTTTAATTAAATGAGTATGCTTCTTCTCGATAAAATCTTAAATGTTGAATTTTATAAATATGCTTCGTAAATCATTTTCAGTCTTTCTAAAATGTAGCTTGCGACATCCTCTTCACTAAAAATCCATTGGTTGCATTTATTGGGTTTTTTTTAATTTTTTTTCCTTTAAGATCCTCTAAATTTTCTCACTATTTTCAGGATGGTGGCTTTCAATGAAAAAGGAGGATTCGTTTTTCAAAAGATTACAACCTTTAGAGAAACTCCCCTTTATAATGGATAGAAAAAACAGATTTGCCCCTGATAAGGCTCATTCGTTCAAATCGTTGGGATTCATACTGGTAATTAGTGGAACCTACTGTAATTTGTAGTCGACAGTATTTTTATACTAATTATGAACTGATCGAGGCCTTATTTTGTTGCGTTTTTTGTTTTCAATTCGACAAACATTTTTGTTTTAGTATTCTGATGATGAGATTCAGTCGTTCAAGTTAATATTTGAGTCAAGAAGGAAAACAAAATTAGAGTTCCCAGATACACCACTGGGAAGGTAAATTCATTTATGTTTTATAGGTGTTTAATTTGAAAATCTTGTTACTTGAATTTTCTACTATGCAATGTAGGGCAATCAGTTTAATCATTAAACATACATTTTACTTCGGATTTTAGGAAGGAAAATCGAGCAATCCATTTCTGTAATCTGTATCACGTTGAAATTTGAAACCCCTGTCATGTTATTTTTTTTTTCTAAATGTTAGATTAATTGGCATATACATGTATTCACATTTCCAACTGTTTTCTCTGTGATAACTCTTTGAAAGTTTGATAGTTGATATCATGATAAATAAAAATGAATTTGAATTTTGCCATATGTGAAAGGTCGAGTACCTAATGCATGTCAGTCCCTCGCGGATGACTTTGTTTTTGACGTCAGTAGGCGAGGACTATGGAAATTAACATGGAATGCCTCGTGTATTTTAAAAGTACGTGTATTAGACAGCATTTTCTATTTATATTTACACTTTTATTTCACATATAGATGTAAATATAAGGAATCACTTTTTAGTTTGTTGGGTATGCCAGGGAGATCAACGACTGTTGGAAACGTAGAATAATGCATAACGGGCTGTCGTTGATTCCCTCTTATATCCAATACATTAGACATTGATTCTTTAAATAACTAGCTATCATCTTTCTCCAAAGCAACTGCATGATGGCAGTGTGCGTGCTGTATCAAAAATAGGTCAGTAACTATATAACTTGTAGCATTTTTTCATCTTTAATCTTTTACCTAAGGCTTTATAATACTTAAAATGTAAAGCAGTTAAACAAGATTTTTGCGTTTGACCTCTCAACTTTTCATGAGTTTTTTGCCATCAGATGCTAAATGTTATAAGTAATTTTCAAGGAGTTTCACTTGCAACAAACATTTCCATTTCATTTTTACAGTTTTTTTTATTTCAATAGTAATCATGATCGATAGAATGTTTCATGTGGACCGCATATATTTGTTTTAAAAGAAAGGTTCTTTTTACAAACCAATTTCAAAACTATATCCCAATGCAATTGGCAGCATTGCCCTCGTTAGCTTAAGATTTTCCAAATTAACGAAAACATCTAGTAGCTTTTGTTTCTATTATTATTTCAATATAATATTTTTTATGATGAAATTTTATTGTAATTCATTCGTAATTGCTTTAGACACACTCTTGAATCACAGAAAAACAGGGCTTTTAAAAATATCATTCTTCAAGCTTTATTGGTAGTGTAAATAATTTATAGTTGAGAGATTATCTGTTTAATATTTGAGTCTTTTTCCCAATGATGATTTTGAAGCGGCTAGATTATTTATGATGTGTAGAAATTAAGATATTTCTTTAAATTATCATCTTACCTATTACTTACTTATACCTTACTTTAAAAGATATATTCTTTTCATTTAAACATTTATGAATTCAAAGAAAGGCAAGACAGAAACTTAAAGATGAAAAGAAGCTGAAAAAGGAGCACCAATGCGTGAGAACATCAGTTAGCAAGTTCTTAAAGGTAAATGTATTCAATATTTGTAATATGTTCAAATCTTATATTTTGAGTTAGATTCAAAGTGTGAACTCTAACTATATATCTTTGTACATTTCTGGTTTGTTAGATGAAAAAAAACATGCAAAGATAGTTCAATGTATTTTATAAATGTTAAAATAATTAAATAATTGTAAGACAAAGAAGTACGTTTTCTTTGATTTTTTTTTGGGGGGGGGGGGGTTACCAAAAATATTCGAGCACTTGATAACTTTCTGTGTATACTTACGTTTCTTAACAGATACTGCAAAAGCAAAACCTGGACAAAGATGAATTCATCAACAGAGAGGAACTACAGAACGCCTTAAAAAGTGTTTGTACAGTGTTGGTACAGCATGTACATTACTTGAAAGATATTTATAATAACCTCTCTCTATCTAAAGTAACATCATTTGTGATCTTAAAACATTTATGATTTCATTCAGGAGGACCTTACTGACTGTGACAAGAAACGTCTGTTTGGAAAGGACGTAACTGTTGAGAAAGTGGTGGCAAAACTAGACAAGGATGGAAATGGAAAGGTTCCATCTGCCTGAATATTTAAAGCCTACTTCACATACTTTTTCTCAAATAGGAATAAAAGTAGCTTGTCTTAAATCCTATAATCAACGTCAATACTTGAAATCAAAGAGATTTTTACCAGTACTTTTATTGAATATTAGGTCAGTTATGAAGAGTTAATTTCATTCATCGAAGAAACAGGGATCTCAGTGGTTCACAGAAGACTAGGGTTTGGTAGACAACAAGTGAATACGCTACTTTCATTATTACAAACCCTGTACAATACAATGTCATTAAATATCGTACGGATATCTGTCAGAGTAAGTTATATTTAAACATAAAATCAATTAACAGTGACATGGTTCTAGATCTTACGCCCCCTTTAATAGTTTTTGAGATTTAATGATAAGGCTATTTCTTCATCTTTATTAATATCATTATACAACTGTCCTATTATTATTTTTTTGTACTCTTCATTTTGTCCATCCCACCTGTAAAAATGGAGTTTGGCAGATACTGATACACTGTAATAACATGACCTGTATTATTTTAGGCTGCAGATGTGCCACGTACAGTTGGCTTGAACTCGCATTATATAGGAACCCTTACATTTGATTATACCAAAGAGGATGCAGATTTCGTCGAACAGGTAACAACACATAGAAGTTCGGTACTTTATCAAAGTAAGGTACTTAATCAAAGTACACTGAAAAACTATTTCTAAAGTATGATTTTATTGATAATCAAAGGGTTAACCACAAATTTAAGTGTTATCAGTTCACAACATGATGTTATCACCTTTTCGATTTTTCATACTTTTTTAGATATCTACGTATCTGACTTGAACAGATACTGCACTTTTCGAGACGTGCCTATTAGTAGTCAAGCCATAAGTCATAAGATAGCTAATCTTTTTGAAATAAATTTGTGGATATACATGTAAATCACTCATTATAGTTAGAGCGTTTGCTCTAGAATCGCGAAAAAAGGAGTTATACCTTACGTAGCGGGTTCGAATCCCACTGCGGAACCTGGAAGAGCGGTCTTTCAGCACTTTGAAGTGAAAGTTGCGGGTCCTTTGGATAAAACCGTATAAACCGAGGTCCCGTGTCGCAGTAGGTGCTAGCACGAAAAAGATCCCTTATTGCTCAATGGCCTTGAGTGCCGAGTATAGGTTTAAATTTGTAGCCCTCCAATGGCAACTGGTGGCGTCTCGATATGAGTGAAAAATTCTCGATGTTAAACTAAAAAAAAAAAGAAAACAAAATAAAACAAAATACAAAACAAACAAACACTCATTTTTAGTAGCAAGCTTATAAATTGTAACCTTATAGAAGTTTCTTTTTTCATAGGAATTATACATGTATATGTACAAAAGTTTAATTAATCTTCTCTGGCTTAACCATGCTAAAATTTATCTTTTTTACAAAGTAGATTGAATTCGTGGTCCATTACATGTAGTTCAAAGTTATTCGGGGAACACAGTAGAATTGATATCTTTTTAGTGATATGTTCTATAATTTTGTCTATTTTTAAGATTCGATGTAAGATAATAATATGGTAGAAGCTCGTAAAAACAATTAATTCTTCAATAAGATTACTATTGATTTCGATGCGTCTGTCGAGGTACGTGCATTTCTGTATACCGTTACGGTATTATCCGTATGCTCACATTTTGATTCTTCTTCCACAGTAAGAAATCGCTAAATTGCTCATGATTAAATTATAATTTATTATCCTTTCCGTTAGTATCAGAGGATGGATGTCAATTTTGCAGTTTTGAAAATTACCATAAAGTTTGCTAAGAATGTATAACACTTTAATGCCTAGCCTTGTTATCTTTCTAATTGTTTATAATTGTATCGAGTTACTGAACCACGGGCCTATCTCCATGCACCAGTATATATTTTTAATTGATACATGTTCACAATCGTGAAATACAGTATAAGCCTTTTAAATATAGTTTGTGGCTACAAGGGGTTCCATTACCTTCATGTATTCGAGAGAGAGAGAGAGAGAGAGAGAGAGATGTGATATGTGACCTTCGTCGCTTCGGTCTTTTGTTCGAATTATGAGAGATTCATTTTAATTAAACAGATGTATTTATTTTCAGGAGAGTTATAATACCACTATAGAATTCTTGAAGAACTTCGTGGCAAAACTAAAGATGGAAAAAGAAAGTGCCAAAGCTCCTGCCACAAGCACGAAGAATGCATTGGATAGCTAAAAAATGTTAACATTTCAGAAAAGATTTTTAGTTGATAAAGTGATGGTTTGTTTGAATACCCACCTTAGAATGTGTATAATGACGCTGATAAAATTTAATGCACAAGTGAAACTTGTTTTTTATAATCTACTAAATATATCACACGGGGATCGGTAACGTACTATGCTTGATTTTATATGATCTCTATATATAGGAATAGGAAAAGCAAACCAACGTCAACACGAATTTACACGGGGTCAATCTCAAAAATACTCTATTTTTATACCCGCACTCTATGGAGAATGTTTGGGTATGTTGTTATCCTGGCCCGTCCGTCCATCTGTCACACTGTCTTCTTCATTCAAGCCCCGTTATATTTTAAGCAGTGGCCCATTCATATTTTGGGATATGTCCGGTGGTGTCTTGAACATATGCAAATAGATTTTGAAATTTTCATTTTCACTATCGGGACCAAATGAGGTCAAAAACCGCATTTTTTTTTAAATCTGTTTCTTTGAACTCCTCTTATGTTTTTCCCAGTGGTCCATTCATATTTTTGAATACCATTGGTGGCGTCTTGAAGATGTGCAATAAGGTTATGAATTTTGATTTTCACACTATTGGACAAATAAGGGTTAAAAAAACGACATTTTTTTTGCACATAAACCTGGTTCCTAGAATTCTTCTTACATTATAAATCCTTACAAACAAAGATACATAGTGTGTTCCACTTAATGTTCTACCAAACATCCTTCTTTACTCCTCACTAAAATATAAACAGAAGTGAAGAAAAAACTTCAGGAGTACTGTGCAACAATATATTCAAGAACTGGTGTAAATCAGGTGTGGATACTTAAAAATTCTAAGGAAATTTTGAAAAATTTGAAATCACAAAATTTAACCAAAATCAATAACATAAAAACTTACGGCTTTTTAATTCTGTATACAATCATGAAAGTCCAGGCTTTTTGACATCAATGACAGCTGCTTTTTTTTTCAATAAAAATGGAACTCGTAAATTTACTTACCTTGTCATTGATCATTTGCAATTTTTTTTGTTAAAAACATTCTGATTGTACACACAAGTACTCTGAAGTTGATATTAAAAAGATGCTTGATTTTCTGATTGACAATTAATATCTATGTGGTTTTTGGAGACCGGGTCTTCCAACAATCTGTTGGAATTTCCATAGGCACCAATTGCGCCCCGTTGTTAGCAGACCTATTTTTGTATTCATATGAAGCAGAATTTATTCAAAATGTTATACATGAGAAAAAGAAATCTATTGCTGTGGCCTTCAACTCGACATTTAGATATATCGACGACGTATTATCAACTATTAATTGTTATTTCCATTCATATGTCAACACGATATACCCCAGTGAGCTTGAAATAAAAGATACCACAGAGTCTGACACGTCTTTTTCATATTTGGATATTTTATTAGAAAAAGACGTTAATGGTAATCTAACAACAAAGCTTTATGATAAACGTGATGACTAACTTTTCAATCGTCGACTTCCCTTACTTGTGCAGCAATATACCTTCATCACCTGTATATGGGGTTTATATCTCTCGGTTGATTCGATACACAAGAGCATGCTTTACGTATGAATAATTTCTAAAAAAGATAAGTTATTGACAAACAAGTTGATGAAACAAGAATATCTACAGTCTCGTTTAAAGTCATCATTTCGTAAGTTCTATGATCGATACAGTGACCTTGTCAGCAAATACAAACTATCATTAAGTCATATGCTGACTGACGTTTTTCATACTAATTGTTAGGCCATTATTTACACACTGAATTGTCGACGGATTTTCCGTTATTTCCCGATCATGACAAGGAGCAAGGAGCGGGTGTGACCATTCGGAAGGGGATGCTCACTCCTCCATGGCACTTGATCCCACCTCTTATGTTTTTTGAGGTCCGTGTTTGCTCTGCTCTCGATTTGTATTGTTTTAATAGACTTTGGGCTTAAATATTATTAATATTCCATATTTCATGCAATAGCCCATTCATCTTTGAAATATGATAGATGGTGCCCTATAGATGTGCAATAAGGTTTAGGAATTTTCATTCTCTTACTGGGGGATGATTGAGGGTCGAAAGTGATGATTTTTTTTTTTTTTACAAAAACTTGGTTTCCTAAACTCCACTTAAATTTTTCACAGTTGCCGATTCTTTTGGCATTCAATTGGTAGTGTTCTTTAAAAGTGCTTTAAGTTTATTAAATTTGATCTTCACCCCTAGGGCGATTAAGGATTGAAAACAGCGGTTTTCTACGTAACCTTGGTTACCTAAACTCCTCAATCTTCAATCATCGACCCTCAATCAAATCTTGCACAAAATTGAAATTGTTCTTAGCTAAGCAGCACGCCACCTAAATACGTTTCCCACAATGCTTGTTTTTCAAGGCCTGTCTTTCTTTAATCCTCCAATCTACGAATACCCCTAAATGTGTATACATGGTGGGGGGGGGGGGGGGTGGGTGGGCACTGAGACAGTGCTAAGTGAATAAGTAGACCATTTCTGGACGCTATAAACTTCCCGTGAACGGATTGTAGTCACTTCCCACATTGCTCGGAACTTCAACATACTTTGTACGACCATCCATTAAAGGTTCGGACAGAGCAGGATTGAGCCTGTAAAGCTGTGAGTTTTTTTCGGTTCTACAAAACTAGTCTTAAGTATACACGTAATCATTTGAAAAAAAGAAGTTTCCAAGAAATTCAATTCTGTTAATTCATTTGCAAGCCTTCCAACTTAATTATCCAAGTTGTGTAACTGTGTTTTAACTCAGCTCTCCGAATCGCTGAGATGCCTTCGACAGCTGCTATGGTGACGAGAATACCATAGCCGCAAATAGAATAATACTTGAATTGAATGTCACTCGATACATATTCGTTTATTCTATCAAATGAATTGAATTGATTATCGATGGAGGATTAAGACAAAAATAAACCAAAACAATATGAAAAGGAATTCATAATTTTAAAGGTAACTTTGTATTATTAACCAGGGTTCTCCATCATTTAAAATTTTACTGTGTTGCAGACTTTACGTTAAACACTAATATTCGCAGTATTTTCGCTATCAGATTCGCCACTGAACCACTATTCATTACAGTGTATAATTACAAAAGCAAACACAGAGACAACTTTTTTGAATCGCAAATCCGTTACACAAATGGTATGGTCGTATATATTAATAAAAAAAATAAATTAATGGATATTTAAAACAATTAGAAATGTAAATACATATACAATGTACTATGACAAATCAACTGTAAATCCCCCCCCCCCCCTTAAAAAACTTTTTAAAAAAAGCATGATTTAAAAAAAAACTTATATAACATACTTGTATCACTATCTTCAAGTTTTACGTGTATATTAAACCTTAATATTTTTTTAATATATGTAAGTTCATATTTTACACATGTTCTGAAGAACAGAGGAAATTCTGATCGATACAATCGAACTACTTACCATCTTTAAAAGTGAATTTGCCGTGATTTTTGTCAGTTGTTCATTGCCGAATTAAAAAAAAGAAACTTTAGGAAAGTAAAATACTTTTAGGGCGTGTCTTTAAATTCTTCAACAATACATTTACATCAATTTTAAAAATGCATGATTACGGTACGATGTTTGACTCACAGTGTAAACATAATTCTAGAGACGTGGTTCTGAAGTAAACTGTAAAGACATATATTTATAAAAAAAATTTTAATTTTTTTTAAAAATAATATCTAGAAATGCAACTAGCAATTACACGGTAACATGGAAGTGTTAAAACAAATTATTTGTCCTAGTTCCTTTATGCGTAAAGTCCAGCAAGGGTCTAGGAGATAATTGATTATGCAAGGAGAAGCAAGTGCCCTAATTAAGAGATAATAAAGTGCTCTGCCTTAAAAATTGCAAGACGGTAGATTTGCTTGATTAAAGTGTCAGTAAGAGAGAATTTATGGTCTGATTTTCTGATTATCACAGATCTTAATGTGTCGCAAAATTTTTACTGTGTCGCACGCTTAAAAATTGAATCGTTATACCATGTCGGGGAAAATTTTACTGTGTGGGACCGACACAGTAAAACAGCTCATGGAGAACCCTGATTAACTATCAGAAAAAATGCTTTCTAATAAAATCGTTAGTAGAAACCGTGAATATTTATTTCCAACAACCTGAGTAAGAAACTTTAAAAAAAATATCATGTTCTTAAATATGGAGATGAAAAAAAAACCGTCTCAGATAATGTTTCTTTTGTATGATTCAAGGATCTCTGGATGGTTTTATTCAGAACGCATTTTAGATCCTGTCTAACCACAAACGTGCAAAACGATACGTTCACAATGCAAGCTCTCTGTATAAAACAATTTTTAACCAACTTAGATTTTAAAAGACAGAGAATAAGAATAGAGTAAACTAAATAGATTTTCAAAATTACAAAGTCACTTCTTCAGGTACAAGGATAGTGCTAAATTACCATTTACACTAGACAAAATTGCACTACTCAATATGCTCAAACAAGTGTGTAACAAGAACATTTGCTCATCGGCACAAGTAAATCTATAATATGTAATCTTGCCCATTGCAATCAAACTTGCCGATGTCAATGTGTCAAACAAAACCCTCAAATGGTTTAATTTCCGTATCCCAGTTTAGAGTAATCTATAATATCACATAGAAGTTACCCAGTATCTAAGCATTAGTATGCGGTCTACCACATTTCCGATTGTCACAGGTTTTCGGCACAATCTTGCAAAAGTCGTGCGGTGCCGTTGACACTTATGGGGGATATGATTCTTAATCTATAGACAACATTTTTCGAGCAGAAACAAAAATTTAAGCTTGTTATATTTTTTTTTTACAAACCTATGCAAATGAACACCCTGCAGAAACCATACTGATCATGACTGCACTACGAAGTTTTTTATGATTTTATTTTATTTTATTTTATTTTATTTTTTTTTTTTTTTTTTTTTTTTTTTTTGGATCAATTCAACCAACCAATGATGAGTCACTTTATTATAGATTGTTGTGAATACCACTAATGATTGTTCGATTTTATTTTTTTCATAAATAGCAATATTTAAACACAACTATATGCTACAAAAGTTTTGTTAAAAAACTTTTTCAACATTTTTAAAACTTCGATTTGTTACACATTTTTGTATATTTATGATAAACGTACATTGTATAAAAATCAGAGGGAAACATTCCAAAAAAAAAACTTGTTGTGCTCGGAATTTTACGGTTAAATGCCAGTAGTGTATGTAGAGGCAGAACATTTATTTCCTAATAGTACATTTCTTAAGCATGATTACGCACCAATGCAGCAGAAGGATTCATAAAGCGGAATAAAAAAAAAGTGTATTTGATAAAATCCCCTTTCAGTCAAAGATATACAGGTGAGTGGAAAATATTTATATATAAAATTATTTAATAATTTTTGCAAGTTTGATATCATGCGTAGTTTACACTAACTTGTCATCATAGAAGAATACTTTTCATCTGAAAGAAAAAACTACTAATGTTTTCATATTTTATCAAAGAAGATATCTGCATTGCATTTTACAGTGCATTTTCTACTCAGAAGACTTCGGTTAGAATGAAAATTGAAGTTCGGTATTACCCGTGATATGAGAAAGGCAAATTAAATAATATCTTATAATACTTTATGAAAACATAAAAATATTTGTTTGACAATTTAGTTGCTTCAAAAGAATTTTAAAGAGTTTTATCTACTGATTTGAAAGGTTAAATGGAAACATTGAAATTTATGGTGCACACATCGATTTTTGAGTGCAATATTGCTTAAAAATAGACCAGACCTTAAGATTGATCATACATTTGCATCCAAATGTACATGTATGCATTAATGATTTTATGAAAGGTTCATTGCTATCTATGCCACAGGTTGTGTGCAAACTTTTCATAGATGAAATGGATCTTTAATCGAATTAATGATCCATTTCATACCAAATCTTATTTAGATGGAGGTTGTCACAATAATGCAAACATTTTGCCTGTTAAGGAGAAAAGTTTATATGACAGAAATTGAATACATGTGTAATGTATACAAGACTTCTAATTATAAGGAAGTATTCAACCGTGGCCCCAACCCACTTATAAACTTTCTTCTACCGACTATTAACCGTGTATCTTAACCAGGGATGGGGTAATTGTAATTAGTATTTGTAATTGAGCGTAATTAATTACATTTTCTAAAGTAATTGGAAGTAATTTGTATTGGAGTCAGTCTTCAATTACAAGTAATTGAATGTATTTAAATACATTTCCAAAAATGTCATGTATTTTCAATTACTTTTCAATTACATTTCAATGACTTTTTTGTAAGTTATGAGTTTAAAAAGGTGTCTTTTCAAGATACACAGTTCAGTATACCTGTGTGGCATGGGCTTGTGTCTCAGAATGCTTAATTTGTTTATACAGCATGCCACACTGCCCAGGGCAATAGGTAGAGGTCTAATTTTGTCCAGGTGTGAACCCCTCTGATACCCAAGAACAAAAACACTGAATAAAAGTTCACTATAGTAAAAACCTTATTCAGAACCAAACATGAATTCTTTTCATGTCGTTTGAGTGATGCTGTGTTTGAAAATCTGATGATGATTAAAATCAGGGACATATATAGTATATAGGTCCCTGTTAAAATTAACTCAAAACTGTAAAAACATTTCAGTACATAATGCTTTGTGTATCTCAATGCCGTTTACATATGTATTTGTTCTCAAGATTTTTTAAAATAAAACTTAAGTAATTGAAATGTATTTAATTACATTTGTCAAAGTAATTGAGAGTAATTAATTACATTTGAAAAAATCAATGTAATTGTAATTGCAAGTAATTGACAAAATTATCAATGTATTTGAAAGTAATTAATTACATTTCAAAGTAATTGAACCCAACCCTGATCTTAACGTCTTAATATAATATGAAATATACGAATAGAACCTGAGGTCTCTTCTGTTTTGTGTGATTTATCTTTGTACGTAAAGGTTTCTATGGGATTTATTGGGGTGCATATTTCATTATTTTAATACTTTTCAGTTTATGATTTGAATGAACTCTGACAAAACTCGGACAAATTTGTGATGGCAGTAAAACTATAAAGCTTGGATATTGTTTGGTGTTCAAAAAGTCTTTACTTTTAAATGTATCAGTCTATTAATTCTAAGAAAGCAGTAGTTTTATTTTAATCTACAAAAAATTAAATTCTAATACGCAGAAATTGTCCTTATACAATATATAGAATACATCGATTAAACCAATCATGAGAGAAACCAAAAATTTGAAAATGCAGATATTTCTTGATAGCTGGAACTTTGATCTCTCGAACTGAGGTGTTGATTCCGATTATTGAAGAAATAAGAAATTTACTCTTGATTTCTCGAACTCTCCATCTCTAGAAACCCTTGATCTCTGACACTATTAGCACCTTAACCTTATGTTTCCATTTCGTCTTAACTTTGAAATACAGGTAAAACAGTGGAGCCGATTTCTAGCATATACCTTTTCATGTAATTTGTGTGTATTCATCATTTGAAAAACAAATTAAGCGCATTTTTTTTTTAAATAACTAAAGTTATATACCATTTGGCCCATATCTATTCGGGTTGTACATTGAAAGCATGCGTTGATCTGGTAGATCTTAAATTTAGAGCACAGAGTCTTCCTGTGATAAAGTACCCGGTAATTCAAACAGTCGGATATGAAATTTACACACAAAAATGAACGAATATGATCCAGACCCCCCCCCCCCCCCTCCCGGATGAAGTGACATGATAAGCGTTTTTAAATAAAAGTTAAGATTTATTTCGTTTTTATTTTAAGTTTAGAAAATTGGAGAATTTTTAACATGATTAATAATATGATATAATTTCTGATTAAATGTTTGAAGTAGAAACCAATGAGGAGAAGCATTGGAAATTCTTGTAAATTTTCATTCAGAAAAATTCCTTCATTCGCAGATAGAACTGTCTCATGACCTTAATTCTCTGTTCGCTGTTAGGTTGGTAAATTATTACTCATTAAAATGTATATAACACCTAAGAATGGGCCAAGAAAAAAGTCCGACCTTTGTACACTATGTTTGAAATATCTTCTTTCTTAAGATATACAAATCATACTTTAAGAAAAAATATAAAACATCTTGAGGCGTAGAGTGGATTTTAGACAACCTACGAAGTAAACCTTATACATAGTCACTAAGATACCAAACCAAGATATGATATTGATTCTGTTTTCTACGGGTATTTTGGATACATGAAGATAATCCAAAACATCTTTGTTTATTTTCCTTATTTTTCTTTTTAACTTCTAATTTTTCCTTTTTCTGAGTTTAACTTTATAACTCATTTTACAAAATCGTAGACATTGTACTGATAGGGCTCATTTATTTATTTGTCCATGAATGTAAAACAACTGAAGTAAAAGTGTCGAACTATTTGATAAGTAACATTGTACTCTGTACATGTTTGAAGTACCATCTAATTAAACATGAGTACACTTTTAGACAGAAAGACAGCGTTGAACCTTTACCAAAAGATTAAATTTCAAATGTATTTTGTGCTTTGGAATAATTAGACAATATATTATATTAGAATTTTTTTAGGAACAGAAGGTCATGACTCCCCCCCCCCCCTTTTATTATAGATCATGTTGGGATATAATGACCCTTTGGTTATGATGGGGCCACAGTAAGGTGTCAAATTTATACATAATAAATCGGCCAAAAGCGGGAAAATAACATTTTTCCTTCCTCTAATTTATCATTATATGACTGAGCGAAAATTTATCAAGTACAGCTGTTGCCTGCAAAATGTATAATGATACTACAAATAGATAATTGGGTATAAGGACAATAATGAAACATTGATTACAGCATTAGTATTTTATTGTACATGTAGCATATTGTATTGACCCTGGTTATAACTACATGTGGATTGTGCTTTAACCCATTTATTTGTTAATTAGCATTTAATTTGAATTCTAAATACCAACAAACTCAACATTTTTACATGGCCATGGGGCTAGAAGATACCATCTCTTACTACATAAGAATATAAACGAGAATCTTCTTTTGAAATACAGGTCCACAATTAATTTTAAAACACATGTAGTTAATTCAAAGTTTTAGCTGTTGCCGTTTAAACTCTCTGCAGTGAGATTAAAGAATGCTCTTCAATGAAACAAGAACAAATTGAATTTATATTACATGTACATAATTTTGGAAAAAATTTTAAATGATAAAATTGAAAAAGAAGACTACTTCAGCATTAAAATGCAGTTTTAAAAAAACAAAAAAAAAACAATTCATGTCGTTATTGATTCTGAATTATCGAAAAACATGCATCTCATTTCTTTTTAGATTTAAAAATGTCTTTTGTAGGAGTCTTAGTAAACCAATACTAGTACATAAATCATTTCACGAATTAAAATTAATTTGCTCTTACGGTCAATTTTTCGTCATTTAAGTTATTGATTATAGTATGGGAACAGAAATGTCGAAAGAGAAAAGTGGTCCAAACACCGTCCTAGAGGATACCAGAAGTGAATATATTGATGAAGTCCTGCAGCAGGAAGTCAATGACAGCCATCATGAATGCGATGAAGACGAAGGAGGTAATAGGAAGTGAAAACATTTATATGTGACACGGTAGCAAATCAGAACAATCAGAGATTAAATTCATACATCACAAAACGTAACTATACTCTATATATGTTTGAATAGGTGCAGTTAATTTTCTTCCATCGATATATTTGTTTCTTTTTTAAGAATTAAGTGAATTGGAAAAGCTTGCTCAAACCATAGACCCAAAAGATAACGTTGATGAGTATCCTTTTGAAAATCTCATTTTCGAGGGAGGTGGAGCAAAAGGGATAGCATATCCTGGAGCATTGAGGGTGAGATATTTAAGATAATAGTTGAGTTTTATTTTGTTGTACATGAGTACGTACAGTGTATACATGTATTGTATAATTTTATACGTGTAATAAAGGTTAGGAGAGTTTAGTATACATGTATTATACAGGAATACATGTATTAGCTTAGGTTAGCAATCTTCAGTTTTAATTAGTCTGTCATTGATTCGACTTACTTTGAAAAAAGTAAATTACCTAAAAGTGGAGATTCATTTACAATTACCAGACTTATGGCTATGATCGTAAGCAAAGACGTTCAATGAGATATGATAGGCAATTTCTTTACCTCAACGACATTTTCTCAGGCAATTTCAAAAGTTTCCTGTCATTAGATAAAGTCTATACAATAATTCCAAAAATGTCACTTGGCAAAATGAAAAAGTTTTTGCGTAAAAAGTTGTTTATATTTTAGAAGTGCTGACGTATATAAAGTTTTAAATCAATGCAGGATCATGATAGTCAGAAAATCCAACGTACACATACAAGTGATTATCATCAATGTACAGAAAAAAATGGAGATAATATGCTTCTATACATCAATAAAATTTAAGGATTACAAACTTTTTGTATATTTGACCAAATTTACTTTGAATTATTGATATTTTATTCTTTCTCAGGCGCTAGAGGATGTTGGTATTATGACAAAGATAAAAAGATTTGCTGGTACAAGTGTTGGCTCCATAACGGCAACAATGGCTGCGCTTGGCTACAAAAGTACTGAAATTAAAGAAGTCATGTCAACGGATTTTTCAAAGTATTATGGTACTGCGATAGTAAAAAGACTTCATGATTCATTTAAGCTAGAGTACATACAAATATCTTTTGAATTACCTGCTTACTGTTGAAAAGATTACTCAGATTGACTGATATAAACGTTAATATCATATGTTGTCAAACCTGTACAAAAGAACCTGTAATGACATTTGCTTCCAAACATAATCCAGAAGAAAGTTTTTGTGAGTTTAAGAGCCCTGTTTTTTTTTATATTGAAAGATGCTAAATATGGAAAATTTAGTCTCGTTCCTAATCTCTTTTGGTACTTGGGATGGCAACCACTTCATACCCTGTATGATTACATCGGAGAAATAGTTGAGAAGAAACTTGGCGATAAGGACGCTACATTTGAACAAGTAATATCTCGTAATAAGTCTTCTTATCATCAAAATTATGAAGTTTTATTCACTTGTACTGAGTATACCTTTTATAAATTGATTTCTTTTCAGCTTTACAAAAGCTTAGGCAAGGAATTGTGCATTGTTGCAACAAATCTTAATGATATGGAAGAGACCTATTTCCATCCAAAAACTACTCCCAAAATGCCACTCAGAAAGGCAGTTCGTATGTCTATAAGCCTCCCAGGTTAGTTTCTGCAATCAATTAAGTTACACTTATCGATGAGCGGTTATATGTAATATATTTATAGGTACTTATTATGTTCTGCAGGTATTATGCAGCCAATTAAACATACCGATTTTGGAGTGGAAAGCATGTATGTGGATGGTGGTGTACTCATCAACTACCCAATAGAGTGTTTCGATGGTGAGTTGACACATAGTACCAACTTTTTTGTACATTTTAATCATTCCATGGAAAACTAAAAATTTTATTATTGCAAGCAATAGCAAACTAGTATGTCACGCCAAAAAAGCATAATAAGCTACTTATATTTTCAACAATTTGCAATATCACACTTGTAACGCTTTTTTTGGCCATTTTAAAAATTAAAACCCCTGGCCAGAAACTTAGGGAGAAACTTGCGCATTAAAATATGCAATTTGAAATACTCTAAGAAAAAATCAAATTGAACGAAATTTCCCCAATTTTTGATTAATTAGCAACAGGTAAAATGGTCGTCCAACTGAGTCCATTTTTTTTCAAACAATCATTTGGACTTGATTTAAAGAATAAACCTTTTGTAAAAGAATTGGCTGGGCAGTTACTGAGAAGATTTCAAATTGTCTTAATTTGTTTCATTCTAAGTTTTCTTAAATAATACGTGCTTTCCATAAATACAACCATAATTCTCCCAACCGATTTCAATTTTTTGCAGAAACCCTTTGACAAAATGCGGGGAATATTTCTTTAAAGTCATCAAACTATTGAACTGGGCAGTTATTAAGAAAATTATTGAAAATTAATTAAGAATTTTCACCTTTTTCTTGTTTTGAAGGCAAAGATGGACATTCTGAAAATTTTCAATGTTGACTGCATAGTTCTTGATTTTCATATCTGTAAAGTTTCGTCAAGATTGCTTATTACATCTGCGAGAACATTCTCAGACAAAATTATAGGTGGGATGATAACAACATATCGTCCCGATTTCGTATTACAGTTAAATAAAGGAATGAGTTTGATAGCTACCCAAGTTGTACTGTATAGTATTGGTTTGGAAAATTTACGCTTTATAAATGCGAAACGTTTATAAAAATTTTTTTTAGAAGTCTGGTATGGTATAATTTAATTTTCTATCATGTAGTTGAAGCTATCCGTTGTAAATCATTTCAGTGAAAGCCTTTTTTAGTGTAGATCTCAACTTCACTGAAAAAAAAACTCACATACTGTGGTTGATATTTTAATACAACAATATGGCATACAATTTTTTCTCAATCTCATTTCTGTGAGAGACATTAAATTTCCTATTTTCAGGGTGGTGGCTTTCAATGAAAAAAGAGAATTCGTTTTTCGAAAGATTACAACCTTTAGAGCAACTCCCCTTTATAATGGACAGAAAAAACAGATTTGCTCGCGATGAGGCTCAATCCGCCAAATCGCTTGGATTCATACTGGTAATAAATGGAAATAAACTAATCAGATGTAGTTGTCACAACTTTTCCTTGTCCAATGCCTTATTTTGTTAAGTATTTTGTTTTGAGAGCTTAGATTTACACTTCTTTGATTCAGTATTCTGATGATGAAATTCAGTCGTTCAAGTCAATATTTGAATCAAGAAGAAGAACAAAAGTACAGTTTCCAGATACACCAATGGGAAGGTAAATATATTTTTGTAATGAGGATGCTTGATTTTAAAACTTTATAACTCGACTTGGCTAATTTCTAAAGTAATCATTACAAGCTTTGTAACATTTCTGTATTATGTCACTGTTTGTGTACCTCTGTCATTTTAGTTTTTCCAATCTTTAGATTTATTTGCACGTACACATGCCTAGTTACTAATCTATCTGCAGAGTACTGGAAATCTAGACAATTGGCATTCTGTGGTTTAATATGTCATTCTTTTGATCGGAGTTATTTTATATGTTCATTATGTAAGCAGCTCAGATAAGAGTTTTCCGCTTGACCTCTCAATGCAACCACATGTGTTTTACAATGAGATCTAAATGTTATGAATAACTTTGAAAATTGTGAAACCGGAGGGGACTATAGGTTTCCTCTGAGTCTGTCCGTCCGTCTGTCTGTCCCTCTGTCTGTTTGTCAATCTGTCCCACTTGGTTTTCCGCATTTTTTCCTAAACGCTTGCAGATATTGAGCTGATTTTGGTATGTGAGTGTATCTTGATGAGTTACAGAACTGATGAAGTTTGCATTTCGTTCCGCTTCATTGATTTTTGACGGACTTATGGCCTTTTCAATTTTTAGAGGTTTTCCGCAATTTTCTTCTAAACGCTTTCAGATATTGAGCTGATTTTTGGTATGTGACTTTACCTTGATTAGTTATAGATCAAGTTTGCATTTCGTTTCACTTCATTGATTTTTGGCGGAATTATGAAATTTTCAATTCTTAACGGGAACCAGATTACACTTGCCGGTAGGGGACAAGTATTGCTAATGCAATACTCTCAGAGTGCTTGTTCTTTTAGTATTGTTACAGTGTTAACCAGTTAGAATATTTTCAGTTTAGTATTTTAGTATTTTTTCCAATGTTTATTTTGAAGTGGCTAGATAATTTATATGTGTACATCTTATGATATTTCATTAATTTTTCTTTATATATTACTCATAACCATAGCTTAGAATGTATCATTGTTTTTTAATTAAAGAGAGGCAAAACAAAAGATGAAAAACAAAAGGAAGTTGAATAAAGAACACCAATGTGTGAGATCCTCTGTTAGCAGGTTTCTGAAGGTATATTCTTTATTTGTGGTATGCTCAAACCTTCGATGAATTCTTTTTTCCAGTAAGAAAATTGTGGAATTGCAATTTGTTTCCAAATTTTCCCAATTTAACTTTTTATTCCTAAAAATCATGCACAAATATCATTTAAATGCATTTTTATATAAGTACAGACGTTATAAAATGTCACTTTTTGTAATTACCATCTTTGTTCACTAAGTATTGTAAGCATCTAAGCATTCCATGTCTTTCTTTTTGAGTATACTTACGTTTCTAAACAGATACTGCAAAAGCATAACCTGGACAAAGATGAATTCATCAACAGAGAGGAACTACAGAACGCCATAAAAAGTGTATGTTTATAACTTGTAAGATAATTGAATAATCTCTTTCTACTTGTCTCTGTATGTCTCTCGACAATACCATCATTTGTGATTAAAAAAAATGCCTTTGTTTTCATTCAGGAGAACCTTTCTGAATGCGACAAGAAGCGGTTGTTTGGGAAGAATATAACTGTTGAGGAAGTGATGACAAAGTTAGACAAAGATGGAAATGGAAAGGTTTGTTATGCCTGTATAAAGTCTTTTCACAAATTATCATCATTCTAATAACAGCGTGCCAGTTTGCTTAATAGATCGTGGTGACATTTTGCGAAGTGATTACCTTTTTGCTCATCGATTTAATGTTCGATTTCAATGAAATGAATACTATTTGTGCATATGAAATGCAGAACACAGCAATACCACTTAGTCTGATAAAGCTGACCAATCGCACTGCACGGGCACGGCATTTGTGTTGAGCAGCAACACGTGGTCAGACAAAGCCCATTTCTGGCTTCTCTGTTCATATGTAAAATAGTATTCTTTTAATTCAAATCAAACATCCAATCGATGAGAAATATGATGATCAACATTTGGAACATCAGCAAGCTCCATTAAACAAAGTGACACACTGTTATTGGAATGATAGTAGAATAAATATAGTGTGGTGTTTAGTGTATAGTCAACGTCAATATACTTCAAATCTAATAGATTTCACTTTTTTGGGGATTCAGATAAGTTATGAAGAGTTAGTTTCATTCATCGAAGAAACAGGGATATCAGTGGTCCACAGAAGACTACGATTTGGAAGACAACAAGTGAATACGCTGCTTTCTTTACTACAAAGCCTCTACAATACAATGTCAATGAATATTGTACGGATATCAGTTAGCGTAAGTCATATTTGAATATAAAATCGATTAATAGTAGCATAGTTCTTGATATAATTTACCCTAAAACACCATGATACATGTAGGTTTTAAGCTTCATGTTAAGAATTTTTCTACATTTTTATCAATATCATCATACCACTGTCTCATTATTTTTAATACAATCTGTATCATACTGTTTCTTTTCTTATATACAAGCTGTACGTGTACCTTCATAAGAGATTCAACCTCATCTTTGCAACTGGAGTTTGACAGATACTTGTACACTGTAAAAGTATAAGATCTGTTTTATTATAGGCTGAAGATATGTCTCGCACAGTTGGATTAAACTCGCATTATATAGGAACCCTTACATTTAATTACACCAAGGAGGATGCAGATTTCGTCGATCAGGTAAACATAATGAAAAACGTAAAGATAACAAACTTTGATCAATCTTAAAAATTCTGTAACGATACGAAATATGAAAAGGTCAAAATTACGAACACCTAAAAACAACAGAGGTGGGATCAGGTCCCTAGGAGGAGGAAGCATCTCCCGTCGATCAGTCACATCCACCGTGACTTCTCTGTATTGATCAGGTAAACGGAGTAATCCGTACTCAACATTAGTATTAAACAATTGCCTTACAATTGGTATGTCGGACCGGTGTGTGAACTGTTGCCAAAGGCCGAATTCATAAAAATCCTTACAAACAAAAAATATATAGCGGGTTCCAGTTAATGTTCTATCAAGCCTCTTTCCTTACTCCTCACTAAAATGTCAACAGCAGTGAAAGAGAAACTTCAGGAGTACTGTGCAATAATATATTCGAGAAGTGGTGTACATCAGATGTGGATACTAAAAAATTCCAAGGAACTTTTGAAAAATTTGAAATCACAAAATTTTACCAAAATCAATAAGATAAAAAACTTACAATTTTTTAACTCTGTATACAACCATTTCCCACGGTAAATTAAAGTCCATGCTTTTTGACATCATTGAGAGCTGCTTTTTCAATAAATATGGAACTCATGAATTCACTTGCCTGGTCATTGGTCATTTGCAAAATTATTTTGTTGAAAAAACATTCTGATTGTACACACAGGTACTATGAAGTTGATATTAAAAAGATGCTCGAGTTTCTGATTGACAATATCTATGTTGTTTTTGGAGACCAGGTCTTCCTACAATCTGTTAGAATTTCCATAGGTACCAATTGCGCCCCGTTGTTAGCAGACCTATTTTTGTATTCATATGAAGCAAAATTTATTCAAAATGTTATACATGAGAAAAATAAATCTATTGCTGTGGCCTTCAACTCTACATTTAGATATATCGACGACGTATTATCAATTAACAATAGTCATTTCCATTCATATGTTGAGTGAGCTTGAAATAAAGGATACCACAGAGTTTGACACATCTGTTTCATATTTGGATATTATGCTAGAAAAAAGACGTTAATGGTAATCTATCGACAAAGCTTTATGATAAACGTGATGACTTCAACTTTTCAATCGTCAACTTCCCTTACTTATGCAGCAATATACTCTTATCACCTGCATATGGGGTGTATATCTCTCAGTTGATTCGATACGGAAGAGCATGCTTTACGTATGAACAATTTCTAAAACGAGGTAAGTTACTGACAAACAAGTTATGAAACAAGAATATCAAAAGTCTCGTTTAAAGTCATCATTTCGTTCTATAGTCGATACAATGACCTTGTCAGCAAATACAATCTATCATTAAATCATATGCTGACTGACGTTTTTCATACAAATTGTTAAGTCATTATTTTCACACTAAATTGTCGACGGATTTTCCCGTTATTTCCCGATCATGACAAGGAGCACACAGCGGGTGTGACCGGTCGGTAGGGATGCTCACTCCTCCATGGCACCTGATCCCACCTCTGATGTTTTTGGAGGTCCCTGTTTGCTCTGCTCCCGATTCGTATTGCTTTAATGAACTTTGAGCTTGAATACTGATCGTTGTCATGTAACATTCTCCCTCGTATCGAATCAGTTGGGAGACATAGATAATAGCAGGTGAGGATGAAATGTACTACATAAATAAGAGAAGTTGATGAAAGAAAATATGTAGTCCCGTATGTTGTTCAGTTGTTATAATTAGTTTGCCATTTACGACTATAGCAAGTAAAACACCAAAATATGAAACAGATTTGGTTAAATCTGATGTCTTTTATTTACAGCTCACTGGGATGCATCGAATCGACAAAAAAATGAAAGTATTCAAATTTATTGTTAAACAAGAGACTATAACTTAGTTGACCTTTCTGACAAATAAATATATAGATAAATGAATCCCCTTATCATTGCTGTCAGCTTCACAAATTCAATAATTTCAGCAATTTTAGTAATGTCTATTGAAGGCTGACTTTAAGCTTACAAATTGAAATCTTGTAGAAGGTTTGATTTCATAATTATGTCTGAAAGTTCTTGTGGGGTGAAGTCTATTTTTAGGTTTTTTAACCTCGCACTGTCATATCAAATTAATAAACCAATTCATTGTGGGGTTAACCCCACGATACAAAATTTAAAGTAACCCCAGAATGCTGGAAAATACTTAAGTTTTACATCACATTGTAACCCTCGTAAGAACATGTACTGTATGTGTAATTTAATGCCTTTTATCATTGACTGAAAGTTTCATTATATATATACATGTATATGTATTTTTGAGAGGAAGAGACACAGAGAGGGAGAGGAAGGTAATAGGAGCCTACTGGGGCCTATCGCCTCTTAATTGTTCTATATTGTTTATTCCATTTCAACAGCTTCTTTTTAAGAGCTTGAAATTTTTTTATTTATTTTTCAGGAGAGTTATAAAACCACTATGGCATTCTTGAAGAATTTCGTAGCAAAACTAAAGATGGGAAAATAAGTATGCCGAAACTCCAGCCACAAGCAGCATATTGTGTTTGGACAATTGAAACGATTTATTTGTAAATGAATTTATTTTTAATGGATTGCTTTTATTGCCTAAACTCTAGAATGTTTATTGAAACTGCTTATGTATAAGGCACAAATTACAAATTATGAATATGAATTAAGGACAGATGGTCAAAGAAAACAAAAATGGATGCTTGGATTGGTAAATATTTTTGGTCCTATTTTGGTTGTAAATGTCGAATTTAATTTCTAAAATATTAAGAGGTTGTAAACTTTCTATTTAATTGGTTCAAAACTGTACCTTCTATTAATCTATCAATTGTTTGTCGCTTTGTCGTATTTTTATTTTTTTAGGTTTTATACGCCATATATAGCTTTAAACATTCATTTTACTTACACAAACATGACTTAAGTTGTTATTTTCCAAATTTTTGATAAAAGATATGTTTGTATCCTCTGTCCTTAATTAGATACATGTATTATAAATGCGGCGTACAATAGATATAATTTAAACGTAAATACAGTTTATTGCAATTAGTTTATTGAGAAATGAAGTGTAAAGTTTAATTAATAAATACGAGTATCCAAAAGCTACGATTCTATTATTTTTTATTCCCCTGCTCCGAAGCAGGGGGTGTATACTGTTTTACCCTTGTGTGTCTGTCTGTGTTTGTATAGCTGTCTGTCTGTCAAATTTTCTTCGCAGTTTTCTCAGCAACTACTCTTTACAGATGCTACACTCTTTCTTTTTTTGCATGTCATATATGGTGCGATTATTTTTGTACGAATCCGATGTCAACTTCCTGTTTATCCCTGCGTGTGTCTGTACCAAATTTCCGTCGCAGTTTTCTCAGCAACTACTTCAGGCAGATACTTGAAATTTTAGCACACTCTTTGTTTAGGCATGCTGCCATATGGTAGGATTCATTTTTGTACTATTTCGATGTCAACTTCCTGTTTATCCCTGCGTTTCTTTGGGACTTTCTGGATAAACTTTAATAATGATAAAAAAGATAAATCTTAAATTAAAAATATCCTATTAAGTAGAATTTTTTTAACTGAACTTTTGTATATTCACATGACAGCGTACATTCACACCAGAGCGGGGGTATTACCCCGGTACTAGTGAGCATTGGCTCACAGACTTTTTTTTTTAATTTTGACGTTCCTGTTGAAGACATTATTTAGATGAAAATGGAATGTACCATTTAAACTCATAATTTAAAACCATGCAATTAAGCCAGAAAATCACTGATGTGAAATTGCCTAAAGTTATGCAAAGATTTTTTAACGTAAGCTTAAAGGGTATATAGGGACATTGATAGAATATTTTATTTTTCTTAGAGAGGGCAAGACAGGAATTCATATATGTGAAATCGGCAGACAAAAACATAATTATATTTGATTGATTATACATGTATGTTGTCCACACTCAGCAATAAACAGCTGAAATTTTTCCAATTGAAATTTTACATGTATGTATCATTTTTATACAGGTGGGATCGAATCCTACTTTCTCAGAATTTTTATTTTGAAATACACGTACCATTAAATCTAAAATTTAGAAAATCAAGAATTAGATTAAACTCAAGTAAATGCCAAACCCCTCTCAATCAAATAACAACCAAATATCACGATGTGATACACTAAAAATGTCTATGTATTCACATATAACGTTATACATTTCAAAATAATTCCCCCCTGCATTATAGAAAATTTATTTAGGCTAGTGTTCAATGACTGATTTACGTATATAACCAATTTGACTATCTCCTAAATATATGATCACTATATGCAAAATTCTTAAACAAATAAATTAAAAGTAATACGTGAGACAGGCAATTTTTTAAAAATAAATGCCACGTACAAGAACTTATTTAGTCTTTGTTCTGTACACATTCATAAATTTGTGTTTATTTTGCATAAAAATGGATTGGACATGTGTGGCATTCTTAAGTATATATGAACAAAATATAAACAGGTTAAAACAATATGTGAAAAGGATGATTTCCTCAAGATCCGCGCCCACAAAATGACATGAACGATAACTCTGTTTGTTTACATCAGGGCTGTAGGCCTCGGTTGTTCGCAGATTTTCCGTACTGGCGTAGAATAACGTTTTTATGGACATTTGGCACAAGTTAACTTGAAATGATTATAAAGACAAAGATAATTATCAAAGCGCCCGAAGAATTTTAATGCACTTTACTGGAACAATGAAATACTGTTTATCATTGTGCTGTGTTTTCTATTTTATTTGGGACTCGAAATCACTCTCCACACGATCATGTAAGTTAAAAACTGTTTCGAAAATAATTACCAATGAACATGCATATAATACAGAGTTTCATTATAGACCTTATATTCTATGATTTCCTGAAAAAAATATAACGATGAGGAAATTCGAGATAAGAGATATTTAGTTACTAACGACAACTCCACATTTTTCATATTTTTACTAATAAAGTTATAGCTTATTAAGTTAATATGGGAATACTACTTAATACAAATATGATTTCTATGTATTGTACAATTATAAAAATTTTGATAATTTAGTCCAGATTTTGGTTGTCAGGAATCTTCAGACTGCATGTAGAGCATTCATTTCATATAATTTAATTGCAAGTGAGATTCTGGTTTTGAAAAAAAAAATGATCTAAATTATATAATATATCTACCATTTGAACTAAGATTATAGTGTGGATGGTTCCTACCTTTTGGACTGCTTTAGGCATTTTACAAATATGTAAATTATTTTTTTAAAATACATGAATTCCTAAATCTTTCCCTAAGATCATGAAGATGGATAATTAAATTCTAATCTAATGTACCTAGGGTTACCCTTACCAAACTGTTATGTTTGCTGCAGACCTGCAGCAAGTCTGCTGCAAGTTTGCAGCAAACAAAATTGTTCGCAGGAAGAAAATTTTCTTGTTCGCAGATGATTGCCGCTAGCTGCGATCTTGCGGCAAACATTGCAGCAATTGCTGTAAGCTTGCAGCAAATTCGCAGGAACTCAACATGTTTGCAGGAACATTGCAAGAAACATACACGCCAATCTGTTGTTCGCAGCAAGTTTGCAGGAAACATTTAACAAATTGAATGTTTGCAGGAAGTTCGCAAGAACAGTAAACAAGTCAAATCAGCCAATGAAATGCAGATTGTACTGGGGTCAACACAGAATTCGCCATTTTGAAATGTTTGAATTGAAGTGTAGATGTTTCAGTATTTTGTTAGGAATATTTACCATTTTGAACATGTTGAATGATTACAAAAGCATAATTCTGGATGTAGGTGTACATTGGCATACACAAATCTAATTGGTAAGATCTGATTTTGTTTATTTTAATATGAAACAATTATCTCTTTAAAGCATGTTTAAGTAACATGTACTTGCTAGGTCAAAACTTAATCTATTTATGAACTTTAATCTTTATTTTAATATAATCTTTATTTTAATATTACATTTGTATGTTTCTTTAAATGTATTTAAGGTTCCAAATCAATTATTATAAATGTTTAAATGTACAATTTTATTGTTAAATAATGTGCAAAGGTTTTTAATTTTCTGTACATGTCAAAAAAAAAAATATTTTTATGAAGAATAGTTTGTGAAAATTGTCTAGGAACATAAAGAGAGACTATCAACACTTCAGAAACTAGCTTGCATCATTTCAGACGCATGTGGTGGATTTTCTCTATAATTAACAGATTAAGGTCAGGACAAAGGCTTTCTGCGAACTTGCTGCTTGTATGCAGGAATGTGCCAAAACATTAATTATATTGCTTGCCGCTACTTAGCAGCAATGTTTGCCGCAAGCTTGCAGCAATGTTTACCGCAAGCTTGCGGCAATGTTTGCAGCAAGCTTGCAGCAAGGTTTCCATATTTGGAAAATCCAGTGTTTGCTGCTGACTTGCAGCAAACTTCATTTGCATGGTAAAATGTTTGCTGCAGGCTTGCTGCATACTTGCCGCAAACTTGCTGCAAGCACAAAGGCTTTGTATAGGCTGTCATGGTTTCTTTAGCTTCATTGCAGCAAGCTTGCAGTAATGTTTGCTGCAGACTTGCAGCAAATGTTTGCAGGAAGGCAATATTTTTGGTAAGGGTAGTTAACCATGCATCGGACACATACCTTGCTTCGGACAACTTTAAGCTATAAACTTTCATTAAACCTGAGTCTCTCCATGTTTTTACTTGCTTCTGTCTTTAAGCTGAAGATTAAAAGTTTTAAATGATGCCGATATTTATTATCATGTTGTGATCAATACCACGAAAATGGCCTTGAAGTTAAGTCCTATTTTACATCATCAAAAGGGAGTAGACTGAATTTTATGATTATGCAAATTTTTTGAGTTGTCGTTCTTTTTATTAGATTTCACGAAACCAGTCAGTTGAATTTGTCAATGATTGATAATTTTACAAAAATTTTCCAAAAATTTCACTTTAATATTTATATAATTTTTTTAAAGAGTTGTTATTTACTAGTATGTTTATTTCACCGTACATCGGACACAAATTAACCATGCATCGGACACTTTCCGATGCATAGGTAATCGCTTGGACCATTCTCATAAAGACCCCAACTGACAGCTTTTTTTTGCGGAAATAGAAAATAAAAACTCTAAATTTCCAGGGAAAATACAAGTTATCGATATTTACGACTAGAAATGGACTCAATTTATTTCTACAAATTAGAAGATGATAACTCGAGACAAAGGCCCGAGTTGCCATATACATGTAACTTGCATTGTAAAGCCATTCTAATGTGATGTGATGCACTTAAAATCTCTCCATATTTGTGGATTGACATAGTCAATCAATTTTAATGAGAAGGTTAATGTTTAAATAAAAGATCAAAATATTTCTATATCACTAATTTTAAAGCAATGAGATAAAGGTTTGACATTTTTCCAGTTCAAATACCGTTTGTCCGATGCATGGTGAATATTGTGCGATCCATGGTGAATTCTTACTCATTTCAAAAAAATCGGTTTTTATGGATATTTTTTCAATAAATAACGAGGGTGTCTGATGCATGGTGAATTCACCCTTATGTGATTTTCTATTTGTTTTTTGTTTTTTGTTTTTTTTGAAGTGTAAAAATTGTTCATTTGTTGGTATTAAAAATACTTAAGATACAACGGGTTGAGTTGCCTCTTCGAAATTCGAGGGATAATTGGCGTGGTCCCTTAATTTAAATATGGGAGGAAATTAAATTGAGACAACATAAAATCTGTGATGGCATTTTGATGCGTATCAAAAACTTCAATAATTATTACTGTGTGTATATATATACTTTCTGCTTCTATATTGATGCGATTTGTCCTTAGGGTGTGTCCCATAGCGGATGAACGCGGACTTCAATACTCTATAACATCATAATCTGGAAAGATTTTCAGAAATTTTTAGAAAAGATTGGAAATCAAGTAGACTTGAAATTTATATATTTTTTTTTTTTAAATTTAAATGAAAGTTTTTCACGCGTTTTCTTTAAAACGGATAAAGGTAAGTCTTGAAAGAAGATGGGTGAACAAGGCGAGCGAAGTGCCTATAGTGCGACAAACATGAAGTGAAAAATAAAATCTCATTTATATAAAAATTTTCTTCGATATTTCATCTATTATTAAAGTATACTTTATGTAAAATCTCTACAATTTACAAAAATCTCACAAAGACTGAAATTATTTGCCTACGAAAGAGCATACACACATAAAGAGGACAAAAAGGATCATTTTCTCATACTTTAACAAAATTTTTCGATATGAGTGGGTCTTTGCTCCATATTTTTGAAAGTTAATCCTAAAAGTTTGCATAAAAATATACATTTTTTGGTTTACAAAAACATGGAGCAAAGACCCACTATACCTTAAAAATACACTTTTATGACAAAGCATTCGCATCTTTCCGAGAAATACTTGAAGTCCATTAAGTCAAGGGTGATATCACAAATATGACTTAAATGCCACAATTCATCAGGAGCTGTGTAGCGTAGTGGTTAGCGTGTTAGTCTCAAAGCATAATGATTTTTATTGATAGGGGTTCGAATCCCACGAATACAATTTTATTTTTTTCATAAAAGAATAATTTTTTTCCGAGATCTTTTTTCCTCAGAAAAGTTTTGTTGATTATAACTTCATAAATTTCAATAATGAGAACTTTACTTTAAATACTTAATTCTCATATTGAATATATTTTTTTAAATATCTGAAGCTATAGGCATTCTGCACGCCTTGTTCACCCATCTTCTTTCAGGAGTGATAGATCGTGAGTTGTAAAAGTGACATGTGTGTTTCGTTTTTGTTGCTGTCACTTTCATTGTCCACCGAAAGTACTTAAAAAGGATGCCTTTTTTCATTTTAAAATGTTTATAGGGGAGGTCAACATTACCGCTACATTGCGAAAAATTTCAACTCATTACTGCTACATTTTTTCGAAATTTCGGGTGATCATTACTGCTACATTTTATCAATAAGACTATTGCCGATCACAGCTCATTACTGCTACATATCGAATCAGCCAGCAATGACCCGGAATATAAGTTCAACTCATTATAATTCATATAAGAGATTTCCAGACAGCAGTACGTCAAGCAAATGGCCTTCAAAGCTCTACCAATTATGCAAAGACTGTGTGTTTTATCCATGAACGGAGCTCGGTTTTAACACTTTCTAAAATGTTTTGTTAAATAAAATAGATTTTAGATAAAAATTGAAAAAAAAACAAGATTCTGCCCAAAGTCTTACTTTCACCTCTCATTGGTGGGGAAACAGGTCTTATGGGTGTACATGTACTTTAAATCAATCTGTACATTCATAAGCCGCTGGCTAACGGAAGAGGTAATGTAGCGGTAATGTATACTTTTAAATGTAGCGGTAATATATCCCTTTTTGTATCGGTAATGCCAATTTTGAAAATGCAGCGGTAATGATACGCACCCGTTTATAGAGCCTAAAAAAGTGCTTAAAGTCATGCCATGTTCACCGAAAAATGGTTTAAAATCAAAAGTTGTCCAAAATATGAGTATTTTTAATCGAATTTTAAGGGATGATTCCTACGCGCTCAATGAGGCATTTAAGTCGTTTTGGAGACTTCCATAAAATTAAAATGTAGGTTATTGTGACCTACAGTAATTTTAAAATATCCTTATGACGCATGGTATATGAGATGACAAGATTCACCGAGTAATCATTTGAAAAATAATATATCGGGTTAGTGCCCAGATATTATAACTATTGCCATAAACTTATTTCTGATAAATATAAGACTTTGGCATATCTAGATCTACATATGTTTTAGATATTCTTTTGTACATTTCTAGTGACGTTTGAAGATGATAGATGTTTTGGGCCTTTTCATCCCTCACCAAGAGAAAATTTTACGGTGATTCATAAAGGCCTAGACAGTAGTGGTATTTGTAGAGATATGTCATTCAGTGGTTGGGACTATGCCGACTCTCGTCGTAGGGAGTCATGTGTAAAAGTGAACAGTGTCAAACTGGATTGTTCTCAAAAGTTTGTATACAGGACAGACTCCAACAGAGCAAAACCAGTGAAGGCAAGTGTGAAAAACTTTCTCCTTTTCTCTACTGAAATTGTACTTTTTTTATAATTGTATTTTTGTTTGGTTTTTTTTGGAGAAGCATAGAAGAGTCAGTAAAATGGAATATTTCTTTCAGATATTCGATTGTTATGACACTGCAGACGTAATTCCAGTATTTTGTACGTTTGAGCTACTATACATCCGGATACAGACAGAGGAAGCTATGAAAAACACAGAAGTTGTATACACTGTTTATAGTGGGAGAGAAAAACCATCATATGAAAGGGGTGAGTCTTCTATTTGAGATCATTGTAATGAAGAACATTAATTTATGCATACCCCATCCCTTAAATGTTAGTTAGAGCTTCCGGTGACCTCCATTAAAAGCAAATTTGACAACGATTTTCGCTAAGTAGTCATTTCTAATCTGTCCAACATGTAGTACTCGTATTTTGAATTGGAAAGCTTATCTATTAGTATATTTTAATAAATACTCTATGATTTTGTATTTCGACAGAGAGAGGAGTAGGATGGGTTGTACCCACTATCGTAAGTCTAGGCCTGCTGGGTGTAATCTGTGCTTCAGTGTGTTGTGTACGCATGAAAAAAGCTCGTGAGCTTCAGAATCAAAGAGGGACGATTGCATTCAATCGAAATCAACAGCCTCAGATTCATATTCACCATTATCATCCGGGTAACTCCTTATTCATATACATGTAGATATATGTCTTTCAACAAATATTTGATTTCATTACTGTCGAATTGATAAGAGCTCAATTTGGTAGATGCTCTTGATTAAAAACATAATTGCTATTTTCACAAATAATTGTTCATACAAAGAGATTTATCCTATATATGGAACGAAATACGAGAAGTAATAAATATTGATATAAATTTTCCAGTCCATCAATCATGTGATCAGGAAGCGTCTTCTTCATCTGTAAACAGGGACATGCGTCCAGGAGAGCCTTTGCCTAGACAAGGAAAGAATTTGCCACCAGACACATATCAATTTCAGAGCTATCCTCAACATACCGCACCAACCACGCGTGAGGACAATGTTTACCCACCCAGACAACATTTTATCTCATCTAATATTTCAGATTCTACGAAATTAGAACAGTATGGAAATGACATCAACGTACCCCCACCTTATGATGAGGTCACTAAGCAATATGTTTGATATAAAGTTTGTATTAATAATCCAATGTAGTAATCCAACAACACTTGTACAACCCGTAAATAATCCGAATTCAGTATTGTTTTAACATAAGATAAAACATAAGGACGAATCACCTATGTATAAATTTAAATCAAACTGATGTTTTTTAATCACTTAACATATTGTTATGTTTTTAAAATCATTTGCTATGAAATTATGTTGCAATAAGTTATAATGTTAAATATGCATTTGTGATAATTTAACCAGGTTGTATTTAAGTGACTGCCTGGTTGCTTGAACACATGATAGTACATTAATTGTCTTGACAAAATTACTGCATTATTTAAGTAACTGCAGTCAATATTTATATAAGGTTTCAGTACATTTGAAACACTATTTCCATCTTGTTCCCGGGGTTTGGGGGATTCAAATCATACCATTTTTCAGAAGTTGTACAAAATCGTGCTATGTGCTATTTCTTAGCCTATACAGATACGCTCCTGCAATCACATTGAACAGTGAAATTGGATGGTTGGCGTTGGATGATGCATAATCAGACGGAACAGATTGATCCGTCTCCCTAAAAAAGTTTTCCTCTGGAGTTACCAAAACAATGGAACGTGATGTTCATAAATGAAAGAAATGTTATAGAAATAAATACATGTATATGTGCTATTATTATGATTATCTACGTATTTGTAATATAAATCAAGTCAAATCAATTTTTTTTTAATTTCTGTGAAGAAGTGTGGAAATTGAAATTATCGTCTTTACCTAAATTGAGAACATTTGTGACATTCAAATATATTAACTTTAAAATTGAACCTTGAATAACAATGAATATGAACAAACAAGAAAGCTCAGTAATGGCACCGATCTTATTTAGGATGTGGGATCCTACCCCTCCGTATTGAAACTGGTTGATACCGAAACGAACCCCCACGAGAATGTTATTGTATTTTATATAATGATGGATCAGATGAGGATGAAAAACATTTTTTATTTCATTGCTGCAGCAGATTGTTTGAAAACATCAGAAACAATTTCTTTCATATTATAAACATAAACAAAAATGTTGATGAATCTGATAATTTGAACACTTATATGAAAAATAGCCTGCAAATTGCAAAGTTTAGAAATTTATTCTATTCGATAAGACAAAGATATTTGTACAAGTCAATATAATTTCATTAGCCTTTTCTCATGTATATGCATATATATTATTATATATGTTAAAGTGACATATACATGTAGGTCCTAAGGACCGTATGTAATGTAAACCAGGAGCTATTGTATTTAGACCGTATTTCGTATGCACAAAAATAAAATGTACACATATCACAATTAGTCCATTATGAAATGTATTTATTTACTTACTTACTATATTACTGCCATTGAAATATAATTAAACCTTTACATGCATATCTTGTATGAATATTATTATTATTTTGTTGACTTTTCTAAATTTATGTATTACCAAATATAAGATATGTTCTTTTAAAAAGAATGTATCCATTTTACTTACATTTATTTTTTTATTACATGTACATATATTTTTAACTTATAATAAGTTATTTTACGGAAATATATAATACATTTTTTTAATATTTTTCGGTGAAGATTGAGAGATGGTCCTACTAAGTTAAAGTAGATTTTATATGTTGTGTAAAAAAATACTCTCTATCATGTACAGGCATTCTATAATGTAAAACAAATTTAATATGTTCACAAACTTTTCACAAAAGGTTATGTTTATGTAACAGTTACAGGCTTGTTTAGATACTAGTGTGAAATAAGCTATGTTTACGTTTTTATTTCAAAAGTAAATTAATTTTTTTCAAAATCTTTAAAAAAATATAACTCTTACTTATGTATTCTCCAGTAAAGTTTTTCACCATAGATTTAATCTAAAATTAATATGTTTGATTGAACATGCATTTTTCATAAGTTAATGAAAAATAGTATAGGCTAAACCCCAAAGATTGTTAGAACTGTGAAAAAGCTTCACAGGTCTGGAATCAGGTTGTCGCGTCATCTAAAGTCATAAAACGTCAAGTGATTGCACCGTGAATCCTATGACCAAGCAGTAAATTCAAAATTTTAGTAAATGGACATGATGTCTTACATACTAATGAACAAAAGATAAGAATTTAATTAGACATGCGTCATTCTTCAACGTTTACAATTTATTTTCCGTAAATCAACGTGTCCGCGAACTTTTCTATCAATCCTCGTATATATATATAGATAGATAGATAGATAGATATATTTGCATATGTTTATTGAACAAGGTATTTTTGAGGTTATTCCGAAATTTATTTACAAGCCCTCCAGATTTTTATGCTACCCAAACTGCAGTCGGACAATAAATTGTTAAAAATGTTATACCTATGGTGTATATGATTTTCGAAAATGGTTTCAACATTCTAAGTAAATACTAGGCACAGAAATGAAAAACACCAACTCTAGTTGTGTTTTCCACAATTTAAAATTTTCAAAATGACCACTTTTGTCAAGGAAAACAAACACGAAAATGTCAGAATTTCATTTTTCTCTGAAATGTCCAGCCAATCTATCCTAAACTTTACGGAACTGTTCCTTGCATTGTGTCAATTAAAAGTGGTTTGCGCCAAAAAGTGGATTTGGTTTGACAAATTTTTTTTTTCAGTAAGGCCATTCCAAGTTTTTTCTATGTTTAGCGTCTGCGTGCGCCTTGGTTTTAGACATCCAATATCAGAAAAAAAAAAAAAAATCAGGAGTCCTGAAATTGATCATTTTGGTTTAAATACTTGAATTCTCACAATTTCTTTAAATATTTGTGTATAATATGTAATAATAGGTGTGTTTTAAACATTTTAGAATACCTTGAGTTTGCTAAAGAATAGACGTAAGTACCTTTCTTCCAGAAAAATAGATTCATGAAATAAAATCGTAAAAATTATATCATTTTTATGGTTTTTAAGGCTGCAGGTGTTTTATTTTTTGGCTTGTGTGGTTTTTGCGAGTAGGTAGGTAGGTTTTTGAAAGATGGATGGACGCTAAACAGAGAAAAAACTTGGTATGGCCTAACCTTGGGAAAACAGAGTTTCTGTCACGTGGTCATTGTTTATTGACGTTCAGGTAAATGCATGGTGTTGTGTGCGTACTGTTCACTTGGAGCTTTTATTTCAATTCAGTTTATTAAAATCAAGAGACATACATCTCTTAGACAATATTTACAATCATATACGAGGGTTGTTCGGAAAGTTCGTGGACTACCGTCATAACTTTTTTAATTAACGTCATATTTTTTCCAAATTTGGAAGAAACATTCAACAGTAAATTCAAATGATGTGTATTAAAAAATTTTAAAATATCGTGATTTACTTCAAACTGATTTAGACTTATAAAATGCAAAAATCGGATCACGGAGCAGGTCAAAATTTTGTAATTTACAATCAAGAAACTAAATAATGTCTGAAGTCAAATCCTCTGTAAAATGACACACAAACGGAAAAATTCTACAAGTTCAAATTAAGAATTGTTTCATCGTTTCTGATTCCATATTATGACTTAATATTTTGCTTCGTTGAAAAGAAATCAGTTTCAGAAAATAGGTAGTCCTCATTGAAAAAGCGCAAAAAAGATGACGTCGTAGAACGTCACGGAGCAGCAGTTAACCATACAATTTTGTGTTGTACTCTGGAAAACTCCAGAAAAAACTCTGAAAATGCCGGAGGTAGTAGGAAATATGTCAAAAGCGAGCAATGCATGTGTGTGTACATGGTACAAGGGGTATTTGAATGAGAGACTACACTGCTTAGACGATGGTGATCTCTAAGAAAACGGATTATCTATAAAATTCTTATCAAAAACATTGAAAGTTAGTAGTGTCATGCTAAGAGTTTGGCGCTTTACAGATGCTGATCTTGTGAAAGCATACTTATGCAGTGAAAAAAATATAATATTGACAAACAAAATAATGCTAGTAGAACAATTGTTAGCAAAATAGATTTCAGGTGGTGGAGAAACGTTTTGAATGAGTGCACTGGTATTGGGCAATACTGTGTGAAATGTATAGGGATAGTATTCTTGAGAACCTCATGTCGGTATGTTTTTGACGTTACATTGTTGTTGAGTTTGCTCCGTAGGTACAAAACGTGTTGATTTTAAAATTATATAACATGAATTCTATCAAATCACATGGAATGAAACTTCACACTTAAACAAAATAAATATTTTTACATATCATAATGTGCTCATTTTAAATTTCTTGAAGATAGTATAACGAAGATTGGCATAGTCCACGAAGTTTCCGAACAACCCTCGTACATTTTACACTGATGTTAGTACATAAAATGTTGAGATTAACATCCAACATGTACAATATACAGCTGTAGAACGTCATGATATTTTCAGTAATTCATAGATTGGTTAAACTGTTAAAAGGCAATGCTCTCCTTGCATTAGCTAATTGCAAAACTTTTCCTAAATTGCATAATTCTTAAACATTCTGTGCACTAAGTAACTGTACCAATTTGAAGACACTTGGTCTTAGAAATACATGTATAGTAACTTTTTTTAATGTATTTTTGTCTTAATGTATTACTTTGTGGACATTTTAAAACAAAATGGAGTTCATCTTCTATGTTCCCCAATTCACAAAGATTTCATATTCTATTATTTCTTACGATTTTGTTTTGTCTGATAAATATTTGAATTTTTGGTTTTATTACTTACTTTAAAAGTAAATTCCCGTGAGAAGTTTCATTTGATATGAGATCTTGTTTCTGGTACGATTCTTTATATCTTCCTGACAGATAATTGGATTTGCAACCATTTCAACAAGCTCTTATATGAAAGTATGAAATATATGAAAGTATCAAAGGAATTAACATCATGAAATGTAAATAAATTGTAATCACACATTTGGATTAACAATTCGATAGTTTGGCTTATCAGGGGCGTAGCTAGGCGTACACAAGGACTTACACATAATTTTCTTCCCTATTCTTTTCTTTTTATTGTTTTTTTTTTTTTAAATAGAAATAAAAAAAGAATAGGGAGAAAAATTCAAAAGAGAAGAATAATAAAAGAAGCCTTTGAATTAAAAAGAAAATAGATGGCTTGTATTTTTCTTTGTATGAATGATTATTTTCTCTGTTTTCATATCTTTTTATGTTATTATCATACATGTCATATGCGATATACATTGTACACATCATTCTCAATTTACTTTGCAATACATGAACATTGTTCATGTTGTTATAAAATTTAAAGACGATATCAATCCATAACTTGACCATGGTTATACAAAATGGATGATATTCCAACTTAGTGTACCTGGTTAACTTAGAATAATTTATCTAAATAAAATCATGATTGTGAAATAGTACTGTAAAATTCAATTTTTCAGAACATAATACATTTATGTGAAAGAGGGCACACAACTCGCTGAATGAAAATTAAACAGGGAATTCTTTTTCTACTTTATCAAAATTTCATGATAAAATCTGCATTTTCAATGATGAAATCTAAGGAAATTTACTGTAAATCCACATTAATTCTAGCTGTTTAAAAAACTGAAAACTCACCAGCTTCGGGGGGGGGGGGGGTGCTTTGCCCCTAAATTCCAACAAGTATAGAAATTATAAAATTTAGTGGTGAGATCAGCATTTTCTGGATACTCAAAGTATGCTTTCAAATATGCGAAAAATTCTTCAGCTTCCGGGGGCATCGCCCTGGACCTAATTGGGATCTCAAGGCGGCCCAAAACCTCTTGTCTTTGTTGTATATAGCCATGGTCCTGTGCAGATTTTAAGTGACATTTTAATTAAAAGGCTGAAAAGTGTATTAAAGCTGACAAAAAATATGTTATATATTTTATTTTTTGCCTAAACACCTAAATCTTAAGTCTGCAGAGGTCACATCAAAAGGATGGACAAATAAAATACCTACCGTGATTAAGTTCTCAGACTCATGAACGGTAACTCTGTTTGTTTACATCAAGGTCGCAAGCTTAATAATAGCTGCAATAATGTAGCCCTCTCCGATTTTTTTTAATCTGATATTTTCTGGAGAGGGCTACAATTCCACAGCATCTCTGTAATGGTGCAAATATATTTTTTAAATACGGGCGACTGCAGGCAAAATAAATTGTTTTTACATTCAACTTACTTCTAAAAAGGTGAAATTTTTATTCACTGTCAACAACATAGCCCGTTAAACGCGAAAACCAGATAAAATAAATCTGCTTGTTTACCAGTCGCTCTCATCAAAAGCCATGACAGTTCTCGCGTGATGCACTGAGACTTGCGTTTGAAAATTATAAATTACTTTGTAAAGTAGATTTTCGGGGTTACTAAATGATTGTGCTGTATGGTATCACTAAATATTGATAAATAAAACTATTCCATGTGACATTTTTTCGTAAACAGCGATATTTATGCCTAAAATAAGGTAATTCCTACAGAGATCCGCTCCCTAGAGATCCCTAGTCTCATTGGCTGTCCCAAAATAAAATCGATCAAGGTCAGTAAACATGGCGGATAAATTCAAGTTGTGATGTTGACACACACGAAAAATAACCGATATAAGGATTGTTCTGTGTATGTTTGGATTGATTTATGTTTTGCATAACTACATTTTTGGAGTTCAGGTAAGAAATGTTAATTAAATAGCCATTTGCTGATAATTTAAGCCGAAATCCGTGCGGGAGTGAATCACTCCCGCACTTGCACCATTACGGAGATCCTAAGGAGTTGTAGCCCTCTCCCAAAAAAAAAAAAAAAAAAAAAGGGGGAGAGGGCTACATTATTGCAGCTAGCTTAATAATAGCGCTATATATATACGAGCAAAGTTAACTTAGCCTGAATTAGTGCCTTGTTTTTGATATCATGAATATCACAATATGTTGCTGGATTTAAGTGAAGTATTTAATGATTCATCGGTTTAAAATATATTTTTTGGTTATTAGAAACAATGAAGTTTTACTTGTCAGTGATTTGTGTCTATGTTTTTCTCCCGGATTTGCAGTGTTTTTCAACACGTACATGTAAGTAGATGTAAATATCGAAGTTTTATCATATGTTAAAAACTTAAATTGCTCAAAAATTTCCTTTATTTAAATTCATGGAAATATTGTGAATGACGAGGAAATTCGCGTGGAAAAAAAATTAACTTCAAACCAAGAGATCTTGCTCAGTAACGATAACTCTCTAGATTAGCTGATATAAATAAATGCAATGTTTTTGTATTGTACATGTAAATCTTGGAAGTTGCAAGTGAATGCATCTAAATCAAAGGTTGTTAATTTTAATAAACCTAAAACTTACGATTCATTAACTATAAACTAAGCTACTTGGTTATATAAAAATTAAGAAAGCTAGTATGTTCAGTATGCTTCAGAAAGTAAAATGTTTAGATTTGACTTTAATAGATATTCAGCTGAAATTTGCAGTATTGTTCCTGTTGTTGTCAATGTATCCATATTTATGGTTGTGAAGTTGGGCCTTGACACTAGTGTCATAGAAACTTTTTTTTTACATAACAGTTTTAAATATGAAAAGGTCTACCCCAAATCATGTTTTATATGACGAATGGGATAAATACCCAGTAGAAATATTTATTAAGTGCAGAGATAGTGGGTTTTGGCATAAACTTGTATGTAGTGTTTTTGGTAATGAAGACAAAATTTCTCTTTTATTTAAATTGTTATTGAAACTTAGAGAACATATATTAATACAGTCTAAATGGTAATGTAGAAATAATGTTGAGAACACTAAATGATTGTAGAATGTCTGAGTTATGGCTGCAACAGTATTCTCCAAAGTAAATGGTGTCAAAATTGGTATTTAAAAAAAAACTAGATAAATTGACCACTTTAAGCAGAATTGTTATGCCAGTACTTTCAATATTTCGAAAACCCTAAATCATACCTGAGTTAAATTAGAACCTTGTTTTGGAAAACATTTAGTTTATCTTCCAAAGGACTTTAGAAAGGGTCGCCCGCGTGGCGCAGTGGTTAGAGCGTTCGCTCTGGAGCCGCGGAGTAAGGAGTTGATTCTTACGTCGCGGGTTCGAATCCCACTGTGGGACGTGGAGACCGATCCTTCGGATGAGACCGTATAAACCGAGGCCCCGTGTCGCAGTAGGTGCTGGCACGAAAAAGATCCCTCACTGCTCAATGGCCGTAAGTGCCGAGTATAGGACAAAATTTGCAGCTCTCCACCGGCAAATGATGGCGTCTCCATATGAGTGAAAGATTCTCGAGAGGGACGTTAAACAATAAACAAACAAACTTTTGAAAACAAACAAACTTGAGAATCACAGAAAGGTTCGTTTGGGTGTAGTTGACAAAGATGACAGAGATCAATTAAATTGATCTTTGTTCCGCTAACATTTTAGGAGATGAATGTCATTACATTGAACGAAAAAAAACCTGTATACATATTAACAATGTAGTATCACGATGAAAAAAAACTGTTTGAGATTTTGTTATATTTCCAACAGTAAGTTAATGTTTTAAGAACATTAACTCTTTTTAAAATCCTGAACTTTTCAAATTATAATCTTCACTGAATTTGCGACTCCTAATCTTAATTCAATTAAAACACCGGCGATTTCAAGTGATCCATGACAACTGGGTTAAACACCTGTCATCGTTTAATAACTGCAGGTTAAATTATCTTCAGAAAAATAACATCAAATAGACGATATCCTGATTCTAAATTACGTTAACGGTTTACTTAAGTGTCAAAACTTTTATCCTTCTATCTATTTATCTCCATTTATCATTTTTACACATGCCCCACCATCATTGTTATATATACTGTTGAATTTTGGTTTGTTTTTTTTTTGGACAGCCGTCCCGAGCACACTTACATGTCAGTTCCATATTAAAAAGTTAAAACGCCGGTCGGAGTTTGTTTCAAATCTCTTTTATAACACTCATATCTAGAAATGAACGCGAATCCGTGAGCGAAATCATCAGGGAACTCACGAGTTCTTCAAGCGAGCAATAAAACGTGTATATTTTCCAGAGGTTAGAGCGTTAGCTCTAGAGACGCGGAGTAAGGAGTTGATCCTTACGTCGCGGGTTCGAATACACTGCGAGACGTGGAGACGGTCCTTCGGATGAGACCGTATAAACCGAGGTCCCGTGTCGCAGTAGGTGCTGGCACGAAAAAATCCATCACTGCGCAAAGGCTATAGGTGCTTAGTACAGGTCTAAATCTGCAGCCCTCCACCCGCAATAGGTGGCATCTCAGTATGAGTGAAGGACATTAAACCAAAAAGAAAGAAAAACGAAAAAATATTTCGCACGATCGACACTCAGGCTGTACTATTTCAGTAAAAAGTAAACAGAGTCCGAGTCCAAACAGTGTTTAAACATTTATTGTGGATCTGACAGAATCTTGATACAGATCGGTGAAATTCGGACGGCTTTAAACTTGATTCCTCCCAAAATACCAAACCCCATATTTTATAATATGTAGCCCAACAAGAAAACTCTATTCCCTGAGAAACTTCCCCTTTTTGTGCATTTGTGCACTGTATCTTATTAGTCCCCTAACTATAGGGACTCTAGGTTTCCTCTGCGTCTGTCCATCCGTCTAGCTGTCTGTTCTTCCGTCTGTCCCACTTGGTTTTCCTCACTTTTTTCCTATACGCTTGCTGATATTGATCTGATTTTTAGTATGTGAGTGTATCTTGAAGTTTGCATTTCGTTCCGCTTCATTGATTTTTGACGGAATTACGACCTTTTCAATTTTGAGGGGTTTTCCACACTTTTTATCTCAAACTGCTTGCACATATTGAAGATCAAGTTTTTTATCTAAATGCTTGCACATATTATAGATCAAGTTTGCATTTCGTTCCGCTTCAATGATTTTACACGGAATTATGGCATTTTCTTTTTTACGGGAGCCAGATTATACTTGCCGGTAGGGGACAAGTATTGCTAATGCAATACTCTCAGAATGCTTGTTAGATTAATTATTAAAGACAAGAGAAATCATGGCCTTTTATATATTATTAGAAAATAGCTGTCAGATGCAAAGAATCGATAATTAGTAAATAGAAGAGTGCTATTTCACTTGTTAACTATATATTAGATATATACGACAAAACAATAGACCAGCTTTAGATCTATGATGAAGCTTATATGCAACATGCAGAAAACAGAATATAGCTTTATCGCTTTAACGATAAAAATGTAAAATTTATGATGATGATTTTTAGCTCACCTCGATGAGCTTAATATGCTATACCCCGGCGTTGGCAGCGGAGTTGGCTTCCCGGTTAAAGTTTTAAGATCAAGCCCATTTCTAAGTAACTACATGTAGCTAGAGACCCTAACTGGACCAAATTTACATGGATGATGCATCTATGGATGGGCACTACCACACTTGCTTCGGATACTGGATTTGACCTACATTATTTGGATGAGTAGACAGGTTAAAGTTTTTGGAGCAGGTTCACTTCTAAATAACACTAAAATAATACTGTCTAACATTCATATTTATCATTTCATTTTAAATGATCCATACATGTTAGTAAACAATATTATTTAAAAAGGATGACGTTAGAATTTTCGTGTTAATATACTTGGAAACTGGACATTAATTCTTCTGTTTTATATTTGATAGTGACCTTTGAGGATGACAGATGTTATGGGCCGTTTAATCCCACACCAAGAGAGAGTTTCAAGGTCATTCATACCGGCGAGGAAAGTAGCAGCATTTGTCGAGACATGTCATTCAATGGTTGGGACGACGTGGATAAACTGAGCAGGGAATCGTGTGTCAGAGTAGAAGAGTACAAACTTCAATGTCCTCAAAAACTTGTATACAGGGCAGGTAGCAACAGAGGAACCCCAGCTCGAGTAAGTACTATTTTTATTTAAGGGGATTGATTCATTTAATGAGGATCGAAAGATTTTGTTCATTATACATTTTTGAAGATAACATAGACTGTACTCATCTACATGACGTGCCTTTTTCTGCTACACTTTAAATAAGTTGAATTTCAGCTTTCATAGTCTCTCCTTGGACATGTTTGCTGCCTACGTACATAATATAGTTACGTGTAAGGGTTTAAGACCAGCGTCTGTAGTTATACGTACATGTATGCTTTCATCTTATCGTGTTGCCAATAAATCATGAGCAATATAAATAATTTTTTCATTGAATTTTCAATGCAAGATAACATTTTCTTGATAAACATAACGTAAATCTGAATAGAAACAGCAGGTCCATGACCACAACGCTCACCTGACATTATGACCTTGCTTTTCTTCACCAGCGGTTTAGAAAAAAGCATAAACTGTTCCAACCCACTTTATACCGTATGAATTGGGTAGATATTACATGTAGTTTCATTCCTTATAATTTAATTTTCATTCATTTAGTTTAAGAAACAAAAAGATTATTGCCCTTAAAAAATGACTTCAAATTGTACAAAATTTAAATGTAACGTCAGGCGGATCGATACGTTTTTGAAGCAAGTCATTGTGACGTAGGCAACCCAATTTATACGATATAAAGTAAATGTTTTATCCAATCAAATGGTGCGTTACAATCAGAATTAAACTATGTAAAAATGAAGTAAAAATACCTTCTTCCGATTTTATAAATTACACGTAAGTGATAAAATTTGACCGACTTCACAATGAAACGACTCGTATACATTTATTTTAAAAAATGTTTAGGAAAAACTAAGAATATTTGAAAAGGAACGCATTTTTTATGCTATTTCACTTATATCATTGTTCTTTCACAGAAAACCTAATATATCAGCTCTTTTACAGAAATTCTGGAGCATGAAATTTATGTATATGTAATGGTTTGAAATACAATGTATGTTGATCTGTATTTAAACATGTTTTCCATGTACTACTCAACAGCTGGTTAGTTGATTTAATACTAGCTGAAAAAAAGCAGCCAATGCGAAAAACAAGGTTAATACACGACTACAAGGGTTGAATGATGCTATTAATAACTTATTTTACTAATTCCATGTAAACGAATTTTGAATACCAAGTAAATATCATACAAATTTTAAAACCCTGGGATAAATCTTTCACGATAAATATGTCGAACACAAGTTTTAGACGAGAGGACCCTGATTCCTTTAAAATATCCTTCTACTCCATTTATATTTAAACACAGAATATTGGAGGAAAAATCAGACTATGATAACATGGTTTATTACATTTTCAACAGTGAAATACTGTAATTTATTTATTAAATAAAAGTGATATTCTGGCACAGTGTGAAAGGATATCAAAATTGTATTCCCACAGTATGAGAATATCAGAAGTGTTGCAAAACTCGAGATTTTCCTTCCCATCACGAATGTAGTGTTTAAAAAACTGGCCTGTTTTTAGTTAGAGTAAATGAACCATCCTGACAAAGACTAAAACTGCCAAGGTTTCTCCAAATATATGTTGTTAAAAATCCATGTTTACAACCCTTTTCAATCTCGCAGTCGCTTAGCTATCAATGACGTTTCAACCGCTCAACTATGACGTCACAGCCTATGACACCCTGTTTACTAAAAGACCGAGTCAAAGAGAAAATCAAAGAAAATGTACTAAACAGAAAATTCAATGTTTTGTAGAGGAATATGGAATTTATTTCACTCGTGGGACAGGAATATTTGATCAATCATTGCAGAAAAAACATGGTAAACAAAGATTACGAAGATCATCTCAAGGAATGTTATTAGCAAGACAAATCTCACACCAAATTTTACTAGATAGTGTGCATACCAAGATCAACATGCAAGAATATACAATTATAGCCTTTTGATGAGGTCAATCCCTAGATGTATAGACCTTAGAGAAAGCATATCGAACGAGCACGAAGTAGTGCTTTTTATTATACTTCATTCTAATTATTCTATACAACGCATTATCTGATTTGTTCTAGATTATCACGTGACAGGGCCATAAAACTTCATATTTCCCTGTCGTCTTTATGCTTTTCATCATATTCAACCTATTCGGAGACCTAGTGCAATTTCCCGCAAGAGTTATCGTTCGCTGAACGAAAACTCCTGAGAGTACTTAGACGTCACAAAATTGCTGACGGACTTCTGCTAATTGTTTCAGTAACACTATACGTTAAAATTGAAAGTAAATTTAAGAGCGGTTCAGAATTTGAAAATTTAAGTTATTTTTAAAGTTATTGCTTGTTTCGGGATAATAAACAATTTATTGCGTGAATGTTCGGGAAACATTAAGATTTATTCAGCCAAGAAATATCATATTCCCCTCGGGCGAAGCCTTAGGGGAATATGATTTTTGTTGGCTGAATAAATCTTCATATTTCCCTCACGATCATACAATAAGTGTATAACGTAGGACATATATTTACTTTTGGAATAGACCTGCTCCAAAAACGTTAACCTGTTCAGGCATCTGGAAAATGTAGGTCAGATCCAGCATCCAAAACAATGTTGGTATTGTCCATCCCTACATGCATAATCGATGCATTGGTCCAGATAGGGCTAAAAGTAACTTGGGAATGGAAGCGCTTCAAAAACTTTATTCTTGTCACTCATGTGAAAAATGTAGGTCAGATCCATCATCCGAAGCAAGTCTGGTAATGTGCATCTCTAGATGCATCATCCCTGTAAGTTTGATTCAGTTAGGGCTTATAGTTTCTTAGAAAAGACCTACTCAAAAAATTGAATCTCGTCAATCATTTAGAAAAGTTAAGTCGGATCCAGCAAATCTAATTCTGTCCACCTTCATGCTAATTTGGTCAAGGTAGTTCATTCGGAAAAGGTAAGTCAGATATAGCATCCGAAGAAAATCTGCATCATCCATACCTGTTTGGTATAGATAATCTTAAAGTTACTTGAGACTGGACCTGCTCAAAAGAATTTCAACCTGTTACCCATCTGAAAAATGTAGTTAATTAATATCCAGCACCTAAACCAAGCTAGTGATGTGCATCCATACATGTAGATGTATCATCTTGAATGTTTGGTCCAGATAGGACTTATACTTGCAGTTGTCTTGGCAATGTACCTGCTCCAAGAACTTTTAATTAATTTGTTCAGTGTAAACTGCAAAATGTAGGTCATATCCAGCAACCGAAACAAGTTCATCATGATCACTATGATAGGTTTGTTTTAGTGTAAGCTTTGTTTTAATGGGATTTCTTTTTTTTAAAAAATGAACAATTAGATAAATTATATAAAGTCTACCTGATATTTTCCAGACTTATGATTGTCGGGACACAGTTGACGAAATACCAGTATTTTGTACATTTGAGTTACTATACATTCGTATAGAGGCAGATGAAACCAAGAAAAACACAGAAGTTGTCTACACTGTTTATAGTGGGAGTGAAAAACAGGGTTACAGCTCTAGTTAGTATTCCCAAATCTGCTTTTCATATATCTATACTATTTCATGTTTTCCTTTTCTTTATTCCTCAAATATCAAATAAAGTAAAAGAAAAAAGCTTATAATCTCCAACTGAAATTTTATTGCTATATTTTCAACTGATAAAAAACTGAACTTAATATAATTATTAAGATCATTATTTTTTGAAACAGATTTATCTGCGATTTCGATAATAATGCCTGTCCTTGTGCTGAGCTTGCTGGCTTTAGTACTCACTTTAGTATGCTGTATACGTATGAAAAGAGCACGTGAGCTGCAAAACCGGGGAGGAACGGTTGTTTTTAACAGAAATCAACAACCTGGTGTAACCTTATATCAACCAGGTAATACATTTATTATTTTACATTCAAGTCGATGCATTTAAGTAGTGTTCTATTCATTTACATTTAGTTTATTCTGTAATCCGAGTGTTGATCCCAATAAAAGTTGAATAATATCAAAACTGAGAGTAACTTTGTAAAATTTTCAGGTACCCGTACATAGTACTTAACTAGTCCGAAATATTTGACGTTTCCCAGGGTTTTTCCATGCTTTTGATATTTGACGTGACAAGACAAGAGGCCCAAGGGCCTTAATGGTCACCTGAGTACAATACGACAATTAAGAGGATCCATAAACTGATAAATGGAGCTTTGTTGACCAAAAGCAAGAAAAAAAGTATGATTAGGATCAACAAAATAATTTGTCTACTATCTATCTGTCTCCCATTTATCACTATTACCATGGGGACTATTAACAAAATGTCTATTTTTTAACCCCATATTATTACTTCTCACATTGGCCTCTCATGGCCTTTGAAGAACATTTAAAACGATAAGTTATTTTTGTCTCATTTTTATTCATCTATTATTTCTAAGTTTACCTGTTCATTAAAATTATGAAAGTACTTTTTGTATTATACATTAAATAAAGTAAGTAAATTTTGTAAGAATTTATGCATGCTCCCTATAACATCAATATAGCCCCGCCCTAACACCAGAACACCTGACCCTGGGACCATGAAATTCACAATTTTGGAAAAAGCAAACATGTTCATCATAACTATCGCTAAGTTAGTTTATTTAATACCCAGGAACAGAGAAGACGATTTCAAAGAATTGATGCAATTTTACTATACAATCAAAAGAGCCCCGCCCTAAGACCTGAACCCCTGACCCATGAAATGACCCATAAAATAGGTCACCTGAGTAACACAGGTGACCTAAAAAAAGTCATAACCGGCGCCATAATGAAAAGTGGAAATTCTCGGATTGATTTTCGACACATGCGAACCGAATTAAATGTGTAACTCACATCCTATCATCAGTACAATGCCTCTAGTACTTACACATACCAATATCGCTTTTATTGTTCCATTATGATATAAAGTGTCTGAAAACATTTTATATAACTGTCGACGTTTCTTTTGATTTTGTGCATTTTGAAACTTGTGAGACCTGAATCGGAATGTGGAGAGAAATTTTCTTTTAAGCGATATTGGTGAGAACTACATGTAGAAGCATTGTGCTATTGATAAATTGTGAGTGTGACTTTTAATTCTATTTGCAAGTATCGAAAATCGAGACGTTTGGGGCGGCGAAATTTCCACTTTTCATAAGGGCGCTGGTTCTGGCGTTTTCCTGGCATATCAAATATCAAAATCTTGAAAAAACGCCTGGAAAACATAAGAAATTTCTGACTAGTACTTAAAATGAGACCAAGACTAATTTGAGTGTGCATGACTTTGTGCAGTCGTAGGTGTGACTTCCCTAACAAAAAAATACTATAATAGTTTACTAACTAAAGTAAATCAAAGTTATCACTATAGTAAGTCAAAGTTTTCACAATAGTAAATCAAAGTTTTCATATTGATCACTTTAGTAAATCAAAGTTTTCATAGTTATCACTATATTAAATCAAAGTGTCAAAGTTATCACTATAGTAAATCAAAGTTTTCATAGTGTCAAAGTTATCACTATATAGTTACATGTAACTATAGTTAACTATAGTATTTTTTTGTTAGTGTTTACACCTTTCCTTAGTATTGTGATTTTGATACAAAGTTAACATTATCTGTAACGTCTATGGGTCTGAAAAATTTCTTTCAGGACAATACAGGAAAAACCGCAGGTCTGGACGATTTCCAAATATGGAAGTCAAGAACGAAAACTGAAAGTTGCTATAAATATACATCATAAACACGTAAATATTTTTCTGCCCAATCAGAAAACAGCATTTTAAACACCTAAAACATATTTCAAAGGGACAAAAAGAGAACACGTGCTTTTTTGTTCATCAAAAAGATTTTTTGAAAAGAAATCTTTAGAAGTAAGATGAAAAGTTTGGAAGAATAAGGTATTCCCCACATATTTACTGTGAACAAACTTGACATTTTCATCTTGGAAAAGAAAAAAAAATAATGCATGTAATAACAATGAGATCGTTTACGGAGGAATAGATCACATCGTCAAGTACAGTTATAACATTTACCAGAACTTACACTATGTTGGTAAATATAATTTTGCTTTGACGTCCGATTTTCATCGATAACGCATAGTTTTCATGCGTATAGATATACTGTACACAAGTATTCATCGTTCAGACTACATGTAGTTTTAAAATTACACGGGTTTCATAAGCGCCGAAAACCATGTTATATACACTTTAAGGAGGAGAAGGACCTTGAGCTGAAAAAATAGTCATTCAATTTTTTTCATATTTTGTATATTTCTAATTAAGTATGTCCCACATATCTTAAAGCAGTTATATCATTAGGTTTCTTGCCTTATTTTGGAGATATTGATTGACAAATACTATGCCCTACAGTCTCTAAATGGAATTTTCATTCTCCATGTTTCCGGGCTCATTACTCTGTCCATAATGGGATTTTTTAAGCATATATAAAAAATATTATAGTGGATATGTATCATTTAAAATATTTCAGAGTATAACTAGGATTTAAAATTCGAAAAAGCAAGTTTTGTCTATCACACTGCATCTGAATAGTGAAAATTACGCACTTATTAAGACAACTTTAACAATAAAAAAAAACCTAATTTACAAAAAATTCTATCATTCAATATTTTTTAATTTACGTTGAAATGCAAATCCTTCAAATTATTGATTAACTGTAAATATTTCGAATGATGAAGCTGAGACCTCATTATTTCACAGGACATCGTTAAAGAGGACATAAGCATGACAAAAACGTGTCATGTTACATTTCTCGAGTACGGGAAAAACCAAGTATGACGTCACACGTAAGCTAAATAGGCGAAATAAGATATACCTACATAAGATTTCCGTCATCAGCCATGCAAAAATAATTTTTGTTTCCCCGTTTCTCAAAATATTTCATCATATACTGATTATGACCTGTTTTTACATAATAATACCACCCCTGTGTTCACCGAGTATGATCTTGTTGTACTAACAGATCGTGTATGACGTCACCGACTTGTTGGACGCGCAGTTTAGGGAAACAGAGGAGTGGATCAATCTTTTTCATAATTTTTTAATGTTTACAAGAATGTTAAAACTTTTCTTATTTTTTTTTTTTATATAAAATGGTAATAAAAGTTAAAAAAAAATTGTCAAAAAATTATACAAGAACTGATGCTTTACACGTTTTGCACTTGTATAAACGGAGACTATGACGTAGATAAACAGAGTCATGTGACCATGTGTCCTTCATCCCCTTAAATTGACATAAGGAAAGGTGAAAAACGTGGAGAAAAGGGAATGTTCATGAATGTTTTTTATCACCATATCTTACCTCGCATACCAGAAAATGCATTAACGATTTTGTAATAAATACTCAGGAAATAATTAAGACTGTTATGTTCCCATAGAAACCCATAGAAAAACATTTTCATGTCAGGCTCTAAAAATTGAAAATCTGCCGTATTTATATTAAATTTCTTAGCACAAGTTAAACTTTTGAGATTGCTACCTCGTGGTGACAGATTTTTAATCCCACTTAGAATTTATTCTTTCAAGTCGTGTTCGTTCACGGTAGAATTGTCATATACATGTATACTGTATCATTCGTAAATTATGTGCAAAAGTTTACAAAAAGTTTGTTCTAAAAATCTTTTGAGCAAAAAACTTTAAAGCCACGTGCTTTATTCATTTGCTCATGGGTTTGTCTAAATTCCGTTATCTGATTGGTCAGAAGGATTAGCACCTTGTTTATTCTGTGTATTTATAGCAATTCAGGGTTATTGTTCTTGATTTCCATATTTGGAAATCGCCTAGACCTGTTTAATGACATAACTGATGTCCGGTTTTGTAAGAAATATATGACGCTGAAGAATGACGCACGACTCGCTTACGAGTGTATTCAAGACGTCCATGGACATTTTACTACAACCTATTGACAGAACGTCATTATAAACATACCAGCAATCTAAACATTATTGTTTTTTATTAAAATAATTCAACTGCGCCGATTTATACTGCAATAATAGCAAATTTAGAGGTACTGGATATTGAAAAAAAATAAACTTTGTAATAATTCCTAGACCAACCCAGATAGTCTACTTTTTTGAACTTTCACAATTTGGTGACTTTTTTACAATAACTTTCATGTATTTGACTGAAAAAGAAATCGCTAGGGCAGAAATACATGTACAAGAAAAATATGGGAAAGAATGTTATAATTAGAGCTTTTCCAACGAAGTCCCATAGTAAAATTTGACAACTTTTGAGATTTCCCCTCTAAGAATATCGATTTTTTTTAATCTAAAGCAAGTAATATGATAGTAGAATTTCATTCAAAAATATCTAGGGTAAAAATAATTGGACTCGGCCTCGTTCAAGCTATATGAAATCTTGTCTACACATATAAATTGCAAAAAAAGTTGAAACGGAATTATAGATAGTACATTTATAAATTGATTTTTTTCTGTTTTTTATTTCTTAACGAATGAAAAATAGGGTAAAAATTCGTATGCAGGTTCATGCCCTTTATTATGTTTAAATGTGGATGTAGCTGTACTGACATTTTCTCCACTAGGCTAATCTTGAATTATGAATCTACATGCTAATTTAATCTTTAGTTTCTATTTAGAAAAGATCAAATATTAATTATATTTCATTATATAAAAGGAATATTTTAAAGAATTTTATGATTTCTTTCAGTGCATCAGCCTTGGGCTCAGGGTCAAAGTCAACAGGGATACAGTCAGCCACCGCAGACATCCCCTCCTTTCCAGAGCTATCCGCAACCAAGCGCACCTGTTATCGCAGGGTCTTATGGGTATCCATCGGGGCAACAATTTCTCCCTCCCGCTGCACCAAATTCACCTCACATCAACGAACCTCCCTCTTATAACGAAGTCATAAATAAAAAACATTAACTCTGTTTTAGTGCTGGACATGTATGTATGTGTAAGTGTGTGAAAGTATCCAACGTAGTAATGATTTTTAACCAGATATGATATTGGAACAATTAACTTAACGATGAATTCGATTGCTTTTAAGGCCAAACGACGCATTCCTCACAAATATGTAATTTTCCCAAGAATTTCTGAATGGAGCATTGCTACATAAACAAGAACATTGAGGTACATTACAAGGCATTTGTGAAAGACTCCAGAGGATGTATTTCTTTATAGATACAATATTTTTCAAAATCACGTAATTGCTGATATCCCAGTTTTTGGTTGATTTATATTTTTTGACATTTTCAAAACAGTTTTAAAATCAGAAGATGATAATAATTTTAAATAATTTTCGTATATCTCGAAGAGATTCAAAAACAGGTGTAAGTGGAACGTGTCGTCAGACCTTAATAAAAAAAAAACAAGGAGTTTATTTATAATGCATGATGTCAAAAAATAAAAATCCTGTGTATATGTACCGGTTGAAATCGTTCCTCTTATCAAAGATAATTCACATAAAAGAGATAAACTGAGTTTTCAGGTAGCTAACTATCTAAACGTGGCTTCCTACATGTATAATGTCTCCATACAATTTTCAAAGTGTCTGTGTGTATTTTATTTTATTATTATTTTTTGTTTTGTTTCGATATTAATTTTTAGGGATGGCAATTATTTACAACAATGTTTTATGCAAATATTTTATTTTTTAAATTTTTTTCTTAACATGTCATGTTTAACACCTTTTTTTTCTTAGAGGATGTTGGATGTAAATATGTCTGTAAAGTAACTATTCTGAAATATACTTTACATATTTAACATATGCATAATTTATCTCCTCATTTTACTCCAATATCAAATATTTTTTCTTTATTGGAATAAAAAGCACTGTTTACCGAAGTTGTATGTTAATAGTTTTATCACAGTTTTCATCTGGTCATAATTTTGACGACTTGTTGAATTCATAATCACTTTCAATTATTGTTTAATTTGGGTTTGAATCAAGTAAGTCAAGTAAGTAAATTTTCTTTAAAGTCTGAAAATTCACAAACTACAGAAACGTATGAGTATAACAGCTCTTAAACAGCCGACTAGCTAAATTGGATAAGAAAGCATCTTCAGGTAGTGTAGATTCAAGTTCGTTTTAATGACGACCCCCGGGGATAGGGTGGGGCCATAATGGGGAATATAAGTTTTACATAGAAATAAATCGGGAAAAGTCTCAAGAACAGAAAAGTCATGTTTAGTCATACTGATATGAGCGCATTCTCAGGTATTGTAGTTTCAAGTTTATTCAAATGATGACACCCACATACAAATAATAGGAAACAATTGATAAACATAATCAAAATGGGTATAGGATACCACATACAAAATCCTATGGGAGTAATATCACATATTCCTAAGGGATTTTTTTTAAAATCATGATTACATGTAATATTTAATTGAGAAGAAAATGGCAGAGAAAAAATCCTATATGAATAACTCTCAAGTTCCTAAGGGTATTTTAATCCTTTGGGAAAATATTTTCCTAAGGGAGAAAAAATTTCCCTTAGGAGAATTTTTCTTTCCTGTAGGATATTTTTTTCTCCTATAGGATTTGTCTTCCTCCTTAAGAAAGTATTATCCCTTAGGAAATTAAATTATCCCTTAGAAAATTAAATTCTTGCAGGAATTCTTAAATATCCTGCAGGAAATGTTAAAATCCTGCAGGATTTTAATAATATCCCTCAGGATTTTTAATATTCCTACAGGAACTTTCTTTTCAAAGGTGATTATCTCATCTGACAGGTGAGATTCACCTGTAACAAAGGTAGTTTTAAACTCTCTGCGTCACCCCTACCAATGTTATTGTTATTTAAATTTACATCACGTGGTTTTTCTTGAACTAGTTAAAGGTCATTAGGTTCGCAGTAAAGGAGTGCCTTCACACCTATAGTCTGTTTTCTGTTTTAAACTCATGACTCATGACATTCCATGCAAAGTCCTGTATATTTACATGTATAACTATGTAAACGATTTCATCCAGTTTTCAAAGCAGATCCACGCAAAAGTCATTGTCATCATTTCAATATATTAACAGATTATACTTCATCTGACTTTCAACATTCTATATATTCATTTGCATTTTCTACTGTAATGAATATTATTTAATTCCTTGAGAAATATACATCAAACTTATGCATGTTATAAAACAATTTTTCCCTCATCATGTTTCAGGAATTTCTAATAGTACAGGCCCATAGCAACGGTTTCAAAAGTGGGTGTGGGAATGGGTGGGGGCACCTTCCAAAAAAATCTGACAAGCAAAAAAAAAAAAAAACCTGACCAAAAGTGTGGGGGGGGGGGCAACTTTCCAATTATCTGACAAGCAAAACAATAAAAAAAAAAACCCAAACAAACCCAAAATGACCAAAAGTCCACAAGTGGGAGAGGGGGCAACTTCCCAAAATTATCTGACAAAAAAGAAAAAGAAAAAAAAACCCAACCAGCATCTAAAGGAAAATTTACTATAGCAAAATACTATACTCAGAAAAAGTGCCCCCCCCCCCCCCGCATTCTACGGGCCTGTAGTAGGGTTCCAATATCTGATAACCCCTTCCAGGCACGGATGTGTGTGTGTGGGAGGGTGGAGGTCCCTGGGATGTTCATAGCTATATATTAAATTTAATAATAAAGTACATGTAACTTATATGACTTGGATCCTCCTCGGAACCATGGTCCTCTACACATGGCAAGTTGGTTAGAAAAGTCATAAACACACAGGAAACTAAAGCAGCTTGTTCCTGAGAAGTGCCCTCTCCCCACAAATAGTTTTTTTTTCAGTTTTTACATGATTTCTTCTTCTTCTTTTTTTTTTAACTTTCCAACTTCTTTTTATTGGGAGGAGGGGGACCCATCTATCCCCCTTTCCAATATTTTTTTTCTCCTCTTCATACTTGTATTTTTTTTTACTCCCTATCTTTGAGCTATATTGATTTCCAGGGCATCTAGAAGAGTATTTTTAGAAGCATTGCCAGATCCTGGAATTATAACTATAAAATAACTATAATTTATGCCTAGTATTTATTTTTTTTTTAGCAAACTTTATAATTCTTCAGGGAGGTAGAGAAGGGGAGGGGTCATTAGAACCCCTACAAGCTTTTTCTGGATTTCCAAAATATACTTAATTGTCAATTCAATGGTATATCTGTGGATTTGAAAAATATTGGTGTTTGTAATGAAAAAAGTATCAAATGAACATTTCAAGAAGAAAAAAAATCTTATCCCAAAGGAATGGTGTTCTTTAGGCACAGTATTTCTGCAAGACACACAAAACAGCTTTAAATCTGGAGGGGGGGGGGGTGTCAGATTTTGCAATAACATACCACACCATTCTAGTCTGCCCCTTTTAAATGTGGCTTTTACATGTAAGTGTCAGTTGGACAAACTGACACTTGACCTCCCCCAGGTCAAGGTGAGCTAAAATTCTTCACATATCTATTAAAAGGAATCCTTATTGTATGTGCCTTTACCATAGAACCCAGGGTTGTTTTAACACTTAAAAATCTAGAATATAAACATGTAGGGTTCCTTCTACAAGCATTAAACTTAGGTCATTCTTGGACAAAGATCCAAAAACATGTTTTCTAAATATTACCATGCATATAAATTTTATTACCCATTTTTCCCCCTCTGTAAAATATTTTTAACCTCTGTTTTGGCAAAACACTGACCACAATTACAGGGTTTAGTATACATGGTTTAAAAACACTGTTTAATATAATGGCACAGTTTATTTCAACATAATTGAATACTTGTATAGAAGATTGACAGATGTTTAACACAATGAGGAAAGTTAACATATAAATAAATTTTATGCTCTTAAGCTTTTAGCAAAACAGTCATACGTGTCATTGATACTAAAAGATATTTTTCCACTGTGAACGAGGGAAATAACTCTGGGAAGACCAATAATTTGTGTACAATATATGTAAATAGTTTGATAGTAGCAATTAATTTCATTTGTGATATATACTTGTATTAAGGTCATATACTATGCTTGAATTCAAATCAGCAGAATTCAGAACAAAACTTTTCCCACTCTCTGAAATAATATTGACAAAGAATCTATTGTCAAGGGAGAAAACTCAGTAAAAAGCCATATGAGCTGCAATCTTCATGTTAAAATTTTTTGTTGTTGTAAAATTGTAGTTTATCACTGCAGTATTTCAATGACAGAAAAAAGAAAGGATTATAAACTTCTATTATTCATATTTACATCAGAAAGACTTTTTGGAAATTCTGATTGATAAAAAAATTATATTGATACCCTGTACAAAAATTGACTCCTATATATATTACCTATACAATTCAAAGATTATACATGTATCACATCAGTCTGTTCTTGTATTACTCAAATCTAGTAGCTTAATAATTTCATAATAATTTGTGTTAAATGATTGACTATAGGCCTATGGACCATGATGCTCATCTGTGACCTGTCAAATGAAGATGAAATATGACCATAAATTTAAACCAAAAGACCAAGAAATGGCAGGAATTCCACATTTTAATTCACAAATCATGCATATATCCACCCCCTATATACTGATTTGACATTGTCTGCATATTGTTTTCCATTCAAGTTGGATGATTTATGACCTCATCCATTGCCCTTAGGATTGAGGCAATTATGACTGTACATATTAACAAGAATCAGCAATCAAAAACATTTGTGAGTTCTGGATATTGTTGGAGTTCTTCAAATTCACTAATTATCATGCACTTAATTCTTGAAGAAATATGCAGATCTCATTCAAAACCTAAATGTTCTTTAGCCATGCTGTCCCATTCGAGAAATAAATTCAACATCACATTAAAAAAAACACTGAGCATCCTCCACATAATGTTCTTTATGGAATTAAGGACATTGGCAAAGTTACTTCCCTTAACATCTATATATTATTATTCATAATGGTCAACAATCGGAACATCACTCGGCCTTAATCCATCAAGTCTAGAAATCTTGACTTGACGCAAAGGGCCGAGTGATGTTCCAATTGAATGGTCAAGAGACTGGTTGACTGTTTCTATTATGTAATTTACTTTATTAGAAACAAATTGTCATAAAATATTGGTATGGATTTGTTTTTAATTTTTATTCATAGTTACTAAATGGTTCCTTCTTCACACAACCTAAGAACTGTTCTCATCTGGTCTACCTTTCAGCACCTGTAACATCTTTGCCTATCCCAGCATAACTAAATTGGTAAACGACATTGGTTCTCTGTCCCCTAACACAATATACAAGAAAGCCATCACTACTTTTCTTTCTTCCTGTATAGATAATTTTACCATTGAAGGAAGCATATGTGCTTTTGTTTACCTCTGTAACATACATTTTATTGGTTTTCACTGCGTGGAGAATTCTACATGGGAGATCACTCTCAATCACTTTTTTATAAGGGAAAAAACACATGTATTTAACCTTTTTTCTTTGGAAAACCTTGCATTGCCAATGTCCTTAAATGAACAAAAAGTGAAGCATTCTGCCATTTAATCCATCATTTCATCCAAACAACCTCTTAAAAGATTTTAAAATTTCTTTGTGGACAAAGGGATTAATACATTAAATAATGCATGCATTGAACCTTTCTCCATATATGCAATATCATCCCATATATTTACATGTATGTTTAAAATCAACAATATTACCATGATAACCTTGTCCAACTTATTATGTACCTTTGAAAGAGTTCTTTTTCCTCATCCTTCAAGTAGTTTTAATATCCACATCCACACTGATTTCAAAGCTTCTTTGTCATAAATATCTTAATAAATAGAGTAGAATATTTAGGCATTTGAAATAGTGTGTGTTATGATACTTTTATATGCTATGGTGACATCATAAAGT